CGAGGCTGCTATAAATGTGCAAGGGAGGCATAGGAGATAATGTCATAATGTAACTTGGGGAGGGGGGTAACTGGGAGAGGGCTGTAAATTTTGCCCTATACTCGGCACTCAGGACTATTGAGCAGTGAGGGATATTTTTCGTGCAAGCACCTTCTGAGACAAGAGACCTCGTTTTATACGGTCTCATCCGAAGGACTGGCCTCCACGTCTTACAGTTGGATTCAAACCCATGACATAAGGATTTAGTCCTTACATTGCAACTCTAGAGCAAACGCTCTAACCACTGCGCCACGCGGGCGACTCCACCGAATTGTATTGTTGCGTCTATGTAGAACACTGTACGAAAAGTTAGGACAGTCACGTTCGTTCGTAAGATGTTGACATTTCTCTGATAGAAGACCTTTTGAAGTATCTTGCAAGGATACTACCTATCGAAGTCTCAAAAACAACAAAAAACAACAAAAAAGTCGACTACGCAACCGTAAATACAATGCCCGACCCCTTTCCTTGAGTCGTTAGGTTACAATCGTTCGTAGGGATTTCGGTATTTCTCTGTTATAACAACCCTACAAAATAAGGTGCTCCCGGAACATGTTACCTTTCAGGGCTGCAGCGAGACCGTCGATGAATCAAGATAATTTTTAACAGAGGTATTCTAATGAAGTGACTGGCACTAAAAGACATGATAAACATGCAGCAAAGTTATGTATGTTTCAGTTTTCACCACCTCTACTTCTCAGTGGAAATGTTATCCAAACTTTCAAAAGAAAAGTGAATCAAACTTCTTCAATCATCGATCATTTATAAAAAAAAAAAAAAATGTTAAAATTTCCGTTTTTAAGTATGTATTACAAACATTCTTTTGGGCAAATATACGTGCGAGGTTGAAATGACATTTTTGTAATTGACAGGTTTTTCATGATATTAAAAGAATCAGACAATAGCAGTGTTCTGTTTACTGTAGATCTTAAATTAATAAATACTTGTTTTGTTCAAAGCATGTTTTAGCCTAGAATCTTTAAATAACTCAAAATAGACTACATGTCTTTAATTTCATGTACAGTACATTAACATAAGTAGGGGTTTAGCATATAATACACAGTTTTTTTTTATGTTTTTATGAAGTGTACATGAAATAATCTGAACAAATACCAATCACAAGGGTCCATATCACAGGAGGGAAGCACATTCAGAGATAAGTTTTCCGTGGGCGCAAATTTAAATACTTTTTAAAAGTCTTTGCAGACTTGAAAATATAATAGATGACACATTATAATATCAATTTACTATTAAATGGAATTTCCAGGCGGTGCAAGTAATAGCCCATTAAGTGGGGAAGGAAACATCATAATAATTTTATGTTTATAAAGTAATTTTAAAAAACAAGAACCAAGCTAGAAACTTTGTTATTGCAAGCAAATCTATATATATATATATATATATATATATATATATATATATATATATATATATATATATATATATATATATATATATATATATATATGTCATCCTAAACTGACTTCAACTGAGTTATATTAACTATGCCTCAAGTTTCCAGTATTATATTGCAAAATATGCACACAACGTTAGCATTTTTTTTTATTTCTTGTTGTTTTTTGGTGTGTGTTTTTTTAAATACGCCAATGTAAATGTCAATACACATGTGTCACTTATGAACTTTTCTACGTCCTGAAGAAAAAAAACAAACTACTGGCGACAAGAGCCAAAAACATTTTCAAAATACATATACTTTCATTTCTTGGAAAGGAATAATTCTGAAAGAATACAAATAAGAATAAGTTTTCAAAAAGATGATTAATCAGAATACTTAAATTAGAAATTTTGTTTGCATCTTTCGTCTATTTCAATAGTAACTGTGGGTATTTGGAAAATTAAGAATGTGGAAAGGAAACATATTTGATGCTTACTATTTCTGTGAGATTTTTATTGTATTGTCTCGCTGTCTGCAATACTGTAAACCAACTTTTATTCGCGTGCGAAAAATATCTGCAAGCTTCGCAACCTACTTTAACTCGCAAATTCAAATCGCCGCGAACCATTTATTTTGCTATGTATTTGTAGAGAATGTGCCCTAAATCGCGAAAATCAATTGTCGCGGAAGGATTTCAAACTGACGAATCGCGAATAAAAGATGACGCGAATAATATTTGGTTTACAGTAACATTCGTGGGCTTTTGTTTGTTTGTTTGTTTATTGTTTAACGTCCCTCTCGAGAATTTTTTACTCTTATGGAGACGCCACCACTTGCCGGTGGAAAGCTGCAAATTTTGACCTATACTCGGCACTCAGGGCCATTGAGTAGCGAGGGATATTTTCGTGCCAGCACCTACTGCGACACGGGACCTCGGTTTATGCGATTCATCCGAAGGCCCGGTCTCCATGTCCCACAGTGGGATATAAACCCGCGACGTAAAGATCAACTCCTTACTCCGCGACTCTAGAGCGAATGCTCTAACCAATGCGCCACGCGGGCGAAACATCCATGGGTAAAATTGTATGTCTAGCAATAACTATATGTTCGATTGTTTTTCTCCACCGACATCAATGATTAAGAAAAGTTATTGAGAACCTTTTCAAAATAAGCTTTCAGTATTCAGCTTTTCTTGGAAGAGGTCATGTGAAACTCCGATGATTTATTTATATCCATTCGTCTTGAGAAAATTCATTTCCTTATTCAATTATAGCATTTTTTTTCTTTTATTCAGCAGGAAATATTTAACCAATTTCTTTAATCAAAATATACTTGAGTGCGTAAATTTTTGTGCGTGCACATTCTTAATACCTGAGCAGTTAAAATTTACTTTAAAAACCACTATCAGATCCATTGCATACGGACTTAAAAAATTGCGAAGGTAATGCGATTTTCCTTTACTATTTTTATATGCAGACCTAGCTATTAAAGGCAACTTTTTCAATACGTGATTTAGTCGACGTTTTCCAGGCTTTTTTTCACGATTTTGATAATTTTCGTGCCAGGAAAAACGCCAGAACTGGCGCCATTACGAAAACTGGAAACTTGGCCGCATCCAATCGGAGGCGGTATTCTCTGATCGATTTGCAGTACTTTTCAACCGAATTAAATGTCAAACTCACAACTTATCAATAGTACACTGCTTTTAGTACTCACCAGTATCGTTTTTATGGTTTGTTTTTAATAAAAATAGTCTGGTGAAAATATTTCATCGAACTGTCGAGATTTGTTTTCATTTCGTGCATTTTGAAATCTTGCAAGACCTGTATCAAAATGTGGACTGATTTTTTCTTTTAAGTGATTTTTGTGAGTACTAGAAGTATTTTTTTTTTGTATTGATTAGTTCTGTGATCGGCATTTTATTCGGTTTTCAAGCATTGAAAATCAGTTCCAGTTGAAGACAGCGAAATTTTGAGTTTTTATTAAGCGCCGGTTTTGATGTTTTTCGGGCATGTAAAATACATGTATCGCAATCGGACAAAAAGCCTAGAAAACGTGAGATATTTCGAAATTTACGTGCATTTGTGTTAAGCATACTAAGCACAATCTATTTAATCGTTATTATAGACCTCGATGTGATTTATTTTTCTTAGAATTAAAACATCTGTTATTATATACAAGAAATCAACACTTCCACATTTCTCTGCTCATTTAATATGAATAAGATCGAGAATGCTAAATGTTATACAGTTCATATTGTTAAAGGTCGGTTTTGATATAAGATGGTTATCTGTTAACTATGATCACCTATTATTCTCTGTGTGCATTTTCCACTGTGAGAGAAATTTTCACTGTTAATCTTTCTCCATAACAACTCCAGATTCAGCCAATTTACTATACAGCATTCTTGGATAAATTGAATTAAGATTTGTGCATGAAGATGTTTTGACAAATGAGACAGAAAGTTAAAGCAGTGAATTTATACTTGTTTCGTAATGCTTGAGTTATTTTTTAAGAAACAAATTATAGCGAAGCTCAAAAGCAGTTATAAACTGCTGTTATATTGCATGTTTTGATAGGTTGATTATTTATGATATAATAACTTATATATTAAATGATCATTACAAGATACTTGATTACATGTACATGTAAAAACAAAAAATAAAGGAGTAAAAAGAATGGCTAGCTGAAATATTTTTCCTTTTTATCATTGCTTTTGATTTATTAAAAAAAACTGTTGGATAAGGTGGAAATATCTATAAATTCATTGACTTCTATAATTGATAGTTCATTTTTCTGTTTAGATCAGACGTGGTGAGGGATGTCTGTATTTCTTTTATTAGCAGCAGTAGCTCCATGTCTACTTTTGCTGAATGTAAGTGTCAGAATACTGTAATATTCTAGCCTTTTGAGGAGGTCGATCCCTAGATATATGAATCTAAGAGAAAAATATCGACCTCGCATTTCGTGCTCGGTCGATGTGCTTTCTCCAAGGTCTATATATCTAGGTATTATACCGAATAAAAAGGCTATAATTGTTTTTATTAATTTTTAGTAAAAAAGAAATGTCTTAAAATCCATGTTTCTAATACTCAATACTTTCTGCAAGGCATTCTCATTTCATTCGCATTATGACGTCAGAGTTACGAATGGCAACTGCAGCATCTATTCTTAGAAACATCCAGTCTATAAAGACCATTGTGACGTCAGCACTTTTGTTGCTTCTCAGAAGAATGTTTCCAATTTTAGAAACCAGATTTTTTTTAAGCTTTAGATAGAAATACTCAGTTTATAACACTTTTTAAACTTGATCATGTGATCTAGTTTAAGCAAATCAGATAGCTGGCAACAATAGAGAAATATAATAAAGGCTTTTAAAGTTTCCGGATGCAATTTTATTTTCAAACCTGCTAGCTAATTTCCTTGTCATGTTAGAGCTAAATATTGTCAAATAAAAAGAATATAATTATCTGGAAATTAAATATCCTAATTACAACAAACATTTCTATTTGACACTACAGGTAACTGCCTCTCCTTCCTCATGTCCAATATCAATTTCAACGTTGGAACACGTAACAATTTGTCCTAAATCTGAGAGAGAATGGAATGAGCGGGCAAAAGAAAAGGGATGTGAAACGCTAGCTCAACATCAAAAGTGCACATCAGTAGAGACGTTCTCCTATCACTGCATTCTAAATGCAGATGCAACAAGACTGGTTGAAGTCTGTGCTCCTAAGTGGTTTATTACTGGTATGCTATATTTTAAATTACCATTAAAGAGCTGGAAAAGGGTCGTTAATGTTCATTCCATTTTTTTCAATTAAAAGGTATTACAGTACATTTCCATATTTCGAAATAATGTATTATAAACAGTTGCATTTTATAACAATGTTGTCAAAATTTAAATTCAAAAAAAGTAATTTTTTTATTCGGAAACTATGTGTATTATCCTGAGTTTAAGCTGCGAAAACTGTAAAAAGCATAGAGAATTATGCACCATGTGCAGCATTTTGAAAGAGTTGAATGTCATATTTTACTGCTAATGCATTTTATGACTATATGTAAGAGCCTAGACAATTTGACATTTCAGGATACTGTGCACGATTTAGTACACAAGAGCAGCGAATAATAAACGACCCTGGAATTGACTGTACAAAGTTTATCCCTCCATGTCCACCAAGATATAATTCAACAGAAGCTCACAAATGTATGTGTATTCAATTTTTAAAAGTTGAAAAGATGTTCAAATGTTCTCAAAAACATATGACAATTTCATTTATTAGAATATGAATCACTGGTCTTTATGAATGATTTCAGTTGATTAAGGGCATGACCTTTCAGTAATAAATTCACAAGAAGTTTTTATCAAAGGACACTATTTGAAATTAGTTTTGTTTCTTATTTAATAATGTATACTGGCAAAATATTGGGACACGCCCCAACACCAACCCCCGCACCTTCAGGCCTTTATACTTTCATACTGTAGACAAAGCTACATTTATTCAGCTTCTGGTGTCAGGTTACAGATAAACTGCCAGATAAAGCACTTCCACTTCTATTGCAGGGATAATTTCTTTCTTACGGTTCCTTTTATTAATTATTGTTGTTGTTTTTCATTTTACCTAAAATGTCTCTTTTATTGTCAGTCCCCCCCCCTCCCCCCCCCCCTTTCAATCAATCAAGGAACCTAAGTGCTTAGATTCACTTTACATTTTCTTTACGAAATATGCATTATATATAAAAAATAAAGTCATCCATTTGTTCCATAGACCAAATGAAAAATTAAAAACCCTTTCAATTATCGATATATAATAAGTCAATATGTCAGATTTTGAAATCATTTGTGGATTTTATTAATAAAAGCCAAACTTATTTCTTATTCATGTTTTTAAAGATCAAAACTGTTATGCTGAAGTTGAAAGAACCTCCAATGTGTAAGTTTTTAAATTGACTATAGCATTATATATATGTGTAATACATTTATCATTAATTTCTCTATTATTGTTAATTATTAACAAATGATGAATGGGTAATTAAGGTATCCATTAAAAATTGGTTAAATAAACTTTATGTTTGTAGAAATGTTCATGACTCCTCTGTTTTTTCCTCGCCGGTCGTATGGACATTGACAGCTCTGAGCTGTGGTTTACTTATTGCATTAATCATCATTACAACACTATATATTCGGGGACGCAAACAAAAATCATCAGATCAAAACATTGAAGGTAACAGTTTACACTTATCCACTGGTTGTGCGTGCAATAGAAAGCCTGCACGAGTTTTAGTCTGATGTATATGCTTTCTTGGGGATGGAGTTTTGTGAAACTTTTCAGTGTTCAAGTCAATGGTTGAGTACAGGGTATTTATACTCAAGTGTTTAGTTTTCCTTTATGAGAAAATTTCCAAGCTATTGAAACAGTTAAATTCTCTCCTAAACTCTATTCTTTGGATTTCTTATTTTACGCGAGTACTTAATTCCACAAATCCGTTGATTGACAGCAAATCGAAAGAACGTAAAATTGTGAACGTCAACCGCCAATATTTAAATTCGCGTTCTCAATGATTTACTATACTAACAAGTTTCCAAGAAGTCATAAAATTAAATTAACTTCAAATCAGTATGAAATATAACATACAACCCAATCGATCAACACATTTTTCCCCACAGAGGAAAAACTTATTACCAGTTTTAATTTTTCCAATTCAAGAAAATGACGTTCATGTGGTCCATCACGGTGGATTAGATTTAGCTGTTTAATAATTGCAAAATAACAATATCCATGTTTTGTTTGTCCCTGCAAGTAGGAGTATAATAATATCCTACATTGTACATTGATGCAATATGATACAGATACAGAGGAGGCCCATACGATGCATCGATCTGTAAAATATAATAATCCATCTTTTTTCCTGATACATGTACGTTCAGGAAGAATACAATGTGCATGTTTTTGTTTCAAAATTAGATTTTATGTGTAAACCAAAAAAAAAAAAATAGTAGAACTCATTAAAAACCAGAAGAAGAGTTATTTTTTTCTTTTTATGAAATTAAAAAAAGGTTATGACTACTCTACTAAATCTTGGTTTCAGAAAATACAAAATACTAAGAATAAGCTTTTTTATGAAAAAGGAATTGCTGAAATCTACGATTTCCTTTCTTAAACCCCCCCAAAAAAGGGAGAAACCTGTAAATAGATACTCCTGATATATCATGATATTTTGCGATATTTTTTTTTTCTGAAATATCGTGATGCATCGTGATACTGTTTCCTCACGATACACATCCCAACTGTACGGATTAGGTAAAACGGCTAGAACTGGTAAAAGCAATATGTTCAAACAACTCATTTAAACAAACAATGTCGTATATCAATTAAAACAAGGGGTGGAGGGTGAGGATATTTTTGGAGAGACTTGAGACTCTCTGAGTGGGTTACCAAATCTGTCAATCAGGCGAATTTATCAACAGTTGGGATATGGCTGGAAACATTGAATGATATTTAATAATATATTTTATAAACTTTCTTTATAAAATTTAATGGTAAATAAAAATATAGGAATTGCATATATAATCTCATTTTGAATATTTTAATAAAGCAGAGATTTTATATGTACCTCTTTTACACAAAAAAATCACCTCTCCTGCAAATGTCTTTATAACGACAAGATCAATCTTCCTCGAAATAAGAATTTTAATAATGAAAATAATTTTAAGTAAATAAATAAATTTAAAGCATTTCATAATAATAATTTCAATGTTGTTTTTTTTTAATAAATTACTTTAAAAGTAAAGTGGATCTACCAAAGTGTTACGTTGCTAAAACAAAACTCACCCATCATAATTCCATTGACTAAACAATAATAAAAAAGGTGAAGTGAAATATGATATGATTAATATATTAATTAATCGCAAAAGTCCATTGAAACAATACAATCTTGGAGCAAAGCAAACAAGGATCTTCAAAGATTCATCAGAGGTGGAATCAGGTGACATGGAAGAGTAAGCATGCTCTGTCGCACGGTCACTACTGCCATGTGCTCATTGTCATAATCGGCCAAACAGAAAAATCCGCAGACAATTAAGTTTTTAAATAATGGCCTAACAATTAGTATGAAAAACGCCAGTCAGCATTCAACTTAATGATAGATTATAATTGCTGACAATGTCATTGTATCGACCATAGAACTTGCAAAATGATGACTTTAAACGAGATTGTAGATATCGTTGTTTCATTAACTTGTTTGTCAATAGCTTGCCTTGTTTAAGAAATTGTTCGTACGTGGAGTATGCTCTCGGGTATCGAATCAACTGGGAGATATAAACCCCATATGCAGAAGACAAGAGTTTATTGGTACATAAACAGAGGGAAGTTGACGATGGAAACGTTGAAGAACAGTGATCGATCTCAAAAAAAAAAACACAAAACAATAAAAAAAATTTGAAGAGGGTATAAAACACAGACCCCTGGAAATGCCAGAGTTGGGATCAGTTGCCTAGGAGGAGTAAGCTTCCCTTGTAAACCGGTCAGTTACACCCGTCGAGAGTCCTATGTATAGATCAGGTATTCCATAGTCAAATTCAGTATAAAAACAAAGGCCTTACAATTGGTATGAAACACAGTAGCCAAAATACGACCCACTGATAGGTTATATTTGCTAAGCAGGTTATTATAACGTCAATAGTATTAACGAAATGCTGACATTAAACAAGGTTGTTGAAATTCCTGTAACATCAACTTATCTGTTAGTAGCCTGCCTAGGCTTAAAAATTGATCGTAATCAGATCATGTTCTTGAATACTTTGAGAGATGTAAAAACCATATGCAGGTAATAGTTGAATATTAGTATATAATTATATAATAAGGAAAGTTATCGATGAAAAAGCTGAAGTTATCTCTTTGTCATACAATTGTAGTAAAAAAAATATTGTTAATGCAAATGAAAGCGAGATATAAGAATTTCCGCGCGTGTCTTATTGCGTTTAACGCGAATATTACTTCCTCGCTTTCAATTAAAAAATCTACAGTATAGGAAACATTTTAACAGAATTATATCAACAATTTATATTCACTGGGAAGCGATCAAAGAGAGTGTTGGGACCAATTGGCTCTCTCCTAGCAGAAGCAAAGTACGAAAATGAATGCTTCATAGCTTGCTTTGGTAACTTTATACCTTATCTGACAGTCTGTCCGTCTGTCTGTCGAGCTAGCTATCCGTTCTCCTGTACACTTTACCATTTTAAATATCTTTTTGAAACCCCCTGGCCTTCGCCAATTTTAATCAAAATTGGCAAAAAGCATGAGGGAATTAAAAGCTGTTTTCAAAAAAAGATTCAGATCCTCTTTCAAGAGAGAACGATTAAGAGAAGGAAAAAAATTGTGATTGGTTCATTAAAAAACCTCAAAAACCACTGGGCCCGAAAACCATACTAACAATGTGTAGATTCAAGAGTAGGATGAGGCAGATAAAAATTTTTACACGAGAATATATAATGAACTTTTTATGAAAATCTTTTCAAGAACTACTTTGCCAGAAAAAAAAAGAAATTTGTGTGAAAGCTTGCCTGCATAGTGTAGAATCTAAGTTGTTCAAATTATGCCCCCTTAGGTAGGAAAAGACACAACTGAAGATCAAAGTTTAATATGAGAATATATAGAAAAAAATCTTACTGTATATTCTAAATGTATATTTTTAGTCTTTCCAATGGCCATCCACAACTTCCCCTTTTTATGTAGCAATATTTTAAATCACTTGTATGTTGTTTATGTCCCCCATCTCTGCCTCCAGGTTAAAAAACTCCTAAAGGTAGCTAATGTGGGGGCCGCAACATGGGGTCACAATATCTTAATGAAATTAAAAGTGGCATTGGGAAGGAATCTTTTACAAATCAGATGAAGAATAGTCGGGAAAACATTACTCTGATGTGTGCTATGGACCATAGGCCTCTTGTTGCTTGTTCTTAGTAATGCACTACTACTATATTATATGAAGGAGAGGGTATATTGTAAATAGTTGAGTGGTTAAGTTGAGAATTAAATTGATATTTTAAAAATGCTTACTAATTTTTTTTTTAAGATAAAGGTCGTAACAAATACAGAGTTTGTTCAGTGAGTAAGGAAATGTATCGAAAATTAAATTTTGATTTGCTATCTTGAATGTATAATTTGAATTAAGCAATGAATGAAATGTTGTCATTTAACTTTTTAAAGGAGAAGGACAATGCAGTGAGTCTGGTCCTTTATCGCCAAGAGTTCAAAAAGAGGCTCCTAGACCAAGATCAGGTAAGTGACAAAGTGGTAATTTATTAGTACTATTCAACAATGAAATATTTTGATTTATTTCTTGACCTGAATTGATTCTATATGATATTATATGTAAGTGCAGCCTATAAAACATCACATGATATTTCAAGAACATTAATCTTAATTTTAAAAAAATGTTTCAACCTCAAATGCATCAAGAATGAATGAAGTACAAACAATTATTAAATATGTGAAATAAATTTCTTCAAAATATTTTGTGAGGTCATTCTATTTTGAAGCTATATATATTCTGTTATTTCAACATCTGCAGTGTACTCTTTATGACACTGGAAAATAAAATGGAACACAGTTAGTTAAAAGTGAACAATTTCGGTTGTTGTTTTTTTTTTTTCGGGGGGAGGGGGAAGAAAAGATTTTAAAAACAAAATCGAAAAGCAGAGCATAAACACATTCATTTCTTTTAAGTCATAGAATCTTGTACAAAGGTTGCACCATTCCATAGAATCTGTGACAAAAAAAATATTCCAGTATTTACATGTACCTAGTGGTGTAGTGCTACATACTGTGAAGGAGGGATTAATGATAATGAGTACTACACTTTTCTCAAATTTCAAAGCTTATATGTAGCTAATATTGAATACATAGAACTATACTATATATGATATAATTGGTATGATAAGGGTTTATAAAAGCAAAGAACTGGGTGAATTCCTAAATGATATTTTGAAGGTGTTTTCTTAGTTGTTCAAATTTTCAAAAAAGACATTTTAAAAGAAATCGGAATTCGTTGACTGTGATGTAAAATGAATCTCAAATAATAACTGTAATTCTCAAAAACATGTATTTGTGTTTTAGACTTGCAGAAAATTCATTTAATGCATAAATTGTATAAAGTGAATAATAAGTATTGTATTAATATAATATATATTTGCAAGCATGAACCATTTATTTGTAAATTGAATAAATCTGTCAATGTTGATAAAAGTAAAACATTTAAATTAATAGAGCAATGCAGTGAATCTGGTCCTTCATCATCAAAAGGAAAACAATTATTCGTCAGGCTAAAGTCAGGTATGATGCAAAAGAGTAAATCTATTTCATGACCTGGATGAAATGTATATGATATAAAGTATAAGGACGATAATATCTTTATTCACATTCATCATTAAATCAAATCCTGACTGACGATTTTCATACTTATTGTAAGGATATTATATGCACACTGAATTGTCGACGGATTTTTCTGTTATTTCCCGATCAAGACAGGGAACACACGGCGGGTGTGACCGGTCGGCAGGGGATGATTACTCCTCCATGGCAATGGCACCTGATCCCACCTCTGATGTTTTAGAGGTCCGTGTTGCTCTGTTCCAAAATTTGTATTGTTTGGACTTTTGAGCTTGAATACTGTTCATTATCTCCATATATTTCATGTACTTTTTTTTACGAATGGGATATAAAATGGGGATATTTAAAAGCAAGTTGAGGATCATTTTTTAAATGAACACTTTGCATTTTTGTAAAAAGTCTCATAATAAGAAATATTTGAAGTTTCCGTCAAGACAATACAATGTTGAAAAAGAAGAAATATTGCAATTTATTTCATTACATTTTTGTAACAACAAGGAGCAAACTATATACTCAAATTTGATTTAAATTTTGAGTCTGCTGGTATCAGGATAATAAATTGATTATTTCTGCATTTGTTTTTGTTCATTTGTATTGATTCATCGTCTCAATTATTCAGCAGAGGAACAAAGCAGTGGAAATGGGTATGTAGATTTTATATAAAAATATGTAGAGAAACATCACATCATTTTATCATCAAGAACGTTCAATAAATTTGTTGAGGAAAAGCAAAATATCATCTGAATCTATTTTTTTTTCTCCTTTGTCTTCCTTCTGATACTGGAAAATAATCTTTTCATATTTTAGAATAAATGTAAACAGTATTGATTTTTTCATACATGTAGGAAAAAAGAAACAAAAGCAAGACCAGAAAAAATGCTTATAAAAACTTTATCTGGAGTAAAGACTATTGAATGCAACGTTAAGGTAATCTAAATGCTTTTTAAAAACACTTAATTTACGTTACATTTATAATTATCTTATATATATGATCTTGTTCAAATATATATAGATTTTTAAAAAACAAGTGTTTATACATACTAATAGAAAAAACCATAGTACATGTATATATCATACTAAAACAAAAAAAAGACATCCTCCATTGAATGCCTTGTAAAAATCTGATAATTCATACCTTTGTAAAATCTATTTGCTGGTTTTACATAATCTTCTTTTGGTTGGTAAATCACTCATTTATAGCCCTGAATGTATCTTTCTTTGTGGTATAACAAAGACTATGTTGTTACCATCTTTGTCAGCTGGAACCAGTACATACTGATCGTGTAGTCTATCTAATCCCTTTTTCACTTCTGAATTACTAAAGACAGAAGGATAAATAGTTTTCATACAGCCCCTCATTCTCAGCATTCTCAGTAGTCCACGTTTGTTCAAATCGTCTCCCGCCTTAATAGTTTGGGAGCGCTTATATGTTTAAACTTTTTAATTCTAAACTGATTTTGCTTATCCTAACCGAAGTGCTCAGGAGAGTGCCTTTTTGTTTTGATTGCAATGAATCTTGCCACGCAAAGAGACTAAACCACTGAGCACAATTCTGTTTATTGTTGTTGTCATTGTTTCAAGTTCAAATGCTTCCATTTTTACCTTTTTTATTATATTTAATCATTTTTTTTCAAAATATTCAATTGTTTTTACTTGTTTCTTATAGCTTTTTAAATGCAATAGATCCATATAAAAAATTTAGTTAGAAAATTTATTTGGGAAACCACTTAATTACGAAAATAAATGTTTAATATTCTTATAATTCTAAATTTTCTATCAAATATCCTTTCTCTTTATTTTTATTATAATAAATGAAGTAAAAATAATTATAAATATATTTAATGAAAGTGTTTGCTTTAATATTGTATTGAAAACTGCCGAATATTAATTTTGGTTTTTGACAACCTGTGATGAAATAGGTTGGGGGGGGGGGGGGGCTTGAAGACAAGCATTTTTCGGGATTTTTATAACCCACGATGCCATTCTAAATTATTCCAAAGTAAACAAAACATGAACTAAGAAAATACCATGTAGGAACCTTCCTTAAAATACATATCATAAAAGCCTATAAGGGGATGGTAAGGCAGATTTCATGGCGGTGACATGAAGTGGTGTCACCATTACATGCTAGATACTGAAGAACGACCAAGCATTCGACAGGGATGTTTATTGCTTCTTATTCCAACCCAAATTTTTCTTAGAGGTCAGTGTTTGCTATGCAAAAAATTGTATTGTTTCAATGTTTTTTTTAGCTTGATTACTGTTCGTTATCTTTATATTTCATTTTAACCACCAAACATGTACCTCTGTTGGTGGGCAGACTGTCCCCGAGGATACTTGTCGTTCGGTACTTGTTCTTCCATAACATACACGAAATAATACTGGCAATATGAAAAGCGTAACAATTTTGAGTCTATAAGGAACACAGACTAAAAGACTTCAACTGGTGTCCCTCGGATAACCCTCCTGGGTATTTAACATATGTCATATGTGAACGCTTCACATTCCCAGTGTTGATAAACAACCAACTGTTTTAACCTAAATATTAATTAATGTAAAGTTTCTACTAGAGATAGATTAGAGAGATTAGATAGATTAGATTAGATAGATTAGAGATTTGAAGAATCCTTTTCTGATCCCATGTCATTTATTGCTTAATGCTCTGCCGAAATTTATGGACAAAGCTTCTATACCAAAACCTGGTATCCTTTTAAATAAATTTGAATAATAAATAAATATGTTGTCTACGTAATAGAATGTACCCTTTATTGGCTTATTTATGTTGGTGAAACCAAGAATTCATTTGATATAGGAATATCGGGGCATAAATTTCAAATTAGCAACGGGAGCCAGCAGCTTCTCTACAAGCACTTTAATATCTGATCATTCTAATTTTGTTAATGAACGTTAAAATTCTAGAATAGATAAACAATAATAATTCTAATAGCCCATCATTGAGTTCACCTTTCCGTAGACAACAAGAAGAATACTGGATCAACTAGGTACGACTTTTCCATATGGTAGCAATGTCGATACTTTTGTGAATCTTTCACTTCCACAGTGTAGAAATGTGAATGTGATGGGACCTCATGACATTTCACAAAAACGTAAGCATAGTCATGGACATCAGTTATACAATATACTTACTATATATACACGATGTCTCTTTTGATTCACTACTACCCTATGTAAAAACAGTTTTATTACATATTCTCCAATCTTAACCCTTTGAACATTTTAAATGGTTAATTTCAAAAGGTCAAGAAAAGTCTAAATTTGGGTTGATTGATAATTGTATGTTATTTTACGTCGAGAATTGTCACGCATATAGGAACGTCACCATATACCAGTGAAGGGCTTAATTTGACACTCGGATCTTATGTTTTTAGATGTTTGTCTTGCTTTCAATTTGTATTCTTTCAATGGATTTTTGAGCTTCATTAATGTTTGTTGTCTTCATATTTCAAATGAATATTTAGGGACCATATTTGCATGTATCCTCCATCCCCACTTCCGAATAAACGAATGCCCATACCTTCCCAAAGCATTGGTTGCATGGGAAATACATCATACTTAATCTTTTTTTCTACCCCCAATTCCTCAAATAAAGTTCTTTTTCTACAAATAAAATACATAAGCACACCCTTTTAATTACGGATGATATTTACTCAGATGGCAAAATTGTTCCATTAATAAGAATAAAAAATGCCTGCCGTACAATGTAGACCTACATGTATGAGTGTGATGCCATTTTTAACTTTCAAACATATAGATCAATGATCTATTATCATACAAATGGCGTCTGAGATTTTCTACAAATCTCGGAAAAAATCTCCAAAATATTTAAAAGATTTTTCTCTTTGGCAAAATATCACAATTGATAAATCTCATTGGAAAATTATAAAAATAAGGATTGATTCCTGAAAGAAATAAACAATTAGAGTTTGAATGTTTGAATGATGGACTCGTAAATTATTAGTTCAGTATTACGGGGAAAAAAACTTTATGATAGGGAGTTGACATGATTTATTATTTAGTTTATTCCCCCTACTTTGTTGGTTTCAAAAATATACATGTATAAGGTAAATGATCTTTTTTCACACATTCCGTCTGCTTTTTGATAAAATTAAAGATTTTCTCCATTGCATTGAAATTATACACGAGCTTTAAGAAAACACTTGCAAAATGATGTTTGAAAAAATGATTTTAAGATGATATTGTTAGGGGAAAATATAATCCATTATTTTAAACTTAATATTTTTGTCAATTAGTAAAACTTTAATTATTATTATTCATTATAATTTTTAACATTCCTTTTTTGCCCGTTTAGAACTTTTTTTTATGATATTGTGCTTAATAGAAATCTATTTCCCCTCAACTAAAACCCTAAGTAAACACCACACGTAAATATACTAAGCCTTTCTATTGACATGCAAAGTTAGTTAATTTTGACAGTTCAAATAAATCTATATAAATGCAGTTGATGATATGGAATAAGATTTAATATGATACTTTTTCGTTCTAAAAATGTTCATATTAACTATATCTCATTATTTACTTTTCAAGAAAACCGTCACTTCTAGCCCTAAAAATGCAATATTTGATTCTCTGTTAATCACACAATTTTACAGTAGAAATTCAACGGAATTATAACCATTTGCAAAATAACAACCAAAAGTATGTTCATTATTTTCTCCTATCACATCCATTATGATCATTGTAACATGGTATACAAAATATTTTTCTGAACTTTCTCATAGGGAATACAAAGTGTTGCTGAATTAAAAATTGCTGTCGCAGAAGCATTGAATTCTTCAAAAGACCTCATAGAAATAGTTGACAAGAGAACTTTAACACTCTACCATGATGACATAGACTTTCCCAGCTTCCTAAAACATGAAGATGATATAAATGTGATTGAAAGAACAGAAACTCGAGAAAGTCATTATGAGCAAGTTGAAAACAACCAACCTGAGATTGCTTCGGATCAAGAAGAATATGACAACGATGAAAATGTTCTCTTTCTTGCGGACCGAGATTGCACACACATAACAAGTAAGTCAAGAGATACATGTACCTCTAAGAAGTATAAAAATCTTTTTTTTTCTTTTAACTACATGTATCAATTGGGATTTCATTTAACTTTGTATGCTCTGTATCTTAAAAAAATATTCCAAATATTTTAGAATCTACGTTCTTCTCATGTTTATTCTTGAGACATATATATTGAACAAACTAACTCACACCCACCCCACACGCGCACCAATACACCCCCACCCCCACCCTCACACATCAACACACACCCAAATACATGTATATATATATATATATATATATATATATATATATATATATATATATATATATATATATATATATATATATATATATATATATATATATATATATATAAGGGATGTCAACGAATAGTCGACTATTCGACTAATCAGTCGAATGGACCGACGATCGAATGATGAAACGACATTCGAATATTATTTTAACTAAATAAATGCAATAAATGAGTGATAGATGAGATGGAATTCTCATCAAAAAATGAGAAACAGTCTTTTCTCATAGACAGTCGATAATTTTCCTCAACAAAAAAAACGGTAGATTTTCCATGTACGTATAGAAAGTACAGCAATTATAAATACTTCACTACTGCGAGAATTAATTGTCAGTAACTGCCTGTGTTGTTTTTGTAATAAATTAACCAATATAATGGGCTTTGTTTGTAGAATTATTCATTGGACAATTATCTTTTGTTATTTTAAGTTTGCTCAAATGCAAGGAATAAACCTGTTTTGATACATCGATAATTATTAAAACAATGCGCTTACATTTTAAACTGTTTGAGGACATTTTGACAGCCCCCCCCCCCTCCATTTTATTTCATAATAAACTTTAAAAAATATCGGCTGGCAATTTTTTAATGCTTACTAAATAAAAAAAAATGACTGCATGTATAGGCCGATATATGAATTCTATTTATGGGGAAATAATAAATTTTGGAGAATTAGGTTTCTAAATTTATTTCATAGAATCATGCTATCCACGCGTTACGTTGCATTAATTTTGATCTTTCCCATCGATGAATCGGTTATAACCCGTTAACCGTTGCCTCATAAATTGTCAACTTATTGAATTGTTTTAGATCCTGATTTACTATTCAAACACATCCATCATGAAGTGTTAATCGAGGAAAACACAAAGATTACCTGCCTGAAATGCGGAATGGAAATGATGACGGATAACGCACTTCAGATGTGCAATATGTCAGAGGATGAGACGTGTTTCTACAAAGAAAAAATAATCAGGAATAGGGGTTTAGAGCACCAGCTGCTACAACTTGGTATGCAGTGGAGTGTTAAGTCTGAATATGCTGACAACATCAACAAATCATAAGCCATAAAAAATTGAAAGTAAAAACAATGCCTTGCACACCTTGAAATCGCTTAATATGACATTGAGAAAAGGTTTATAAATACGTATCCTCAGAGTTACTATGTTTTAATAATATATTATATGTTTATGATAATCCTAATCTTGATTAACATGATAAATTATTGTAATACAATAACTGCATTTTATTTCTATTGTTTAACAAAATGTCAACTATCTTAATTCTAATCTTACCTAGATTTATTTTTCTTATGATTTAGTTAGACATAACCAACGCCTGTATAATTATGAACGATTTCAATATTTTTTTCTTTTCCTGCCGTAGTTTTTTTTAAAACTTTTAATCAATACGTTTAGAAAAGATGACGCATGATTTGCATGTGCATGTATGTGAACCTTAGGACAGGGGAACATTACGCAGTAACTGACAAAATTGGAAATCTCAGTTAAGTTGTACCTGCCAATTCCATTGTTTATTATCAAATGTGTTGACTGTAATAGATGAAAATGATGTAAGATCTAACTTTGTCACTTAATCTTTTCCTGTCGGATACAGTTCAATTTATAAGAATAAATTTTGAGGTTCATTTCTTCTACGAAGCCTATATTTATGTAGAGATACTTTTTTGCATCATGTGTTAGCTTCATACACAAAAATATAGAATTTAACATTATTTTATTTATGAAGTGTTATTTGTCATTTCCATGCAAAGGCTTGTCAACGAGCAATGCATTTTCAATTCGGACTCTCTATAGCCCTATTATTTTGGGAACATGAATGATTGCATTGCAATATGTTTCATGTAATTTTATAAAAATGTTAAATCACCTCACGTATAATTATCGAACGTGCAGCAATTGTCAGTTGGGACAATGACCGACAGTCCATTCTCAAATATAATCATTTGGCTCAATGCCTCCATAGTCATCGGTCTCTTTCAGATTATTTTTTATTCTGCATAATACAAAGTTTTTGTCTTTTTTTCCGCTGATTTGTTATGAATGACTAATTAAGTCAAGTATTTTTTGCCTAGGATTTTGGAAATTCCATTATCAGTTTACATGCTTCATTTACGAAAACAACCGTTACCATTACCATATAATTGTAAGTTTTAGGTTAGTATATTTATACAGTTTGAAATAAGTAATTTGAAATTATCCATGTCATCAATGTTTAAATTGACAACTGTGTGTAAGAGTTCTAAATGTTTGGGGAATTTTCCTGCGATAGAATTGCCTAACATTTTTCCTGCTCAGATTCACAGCTGCTCAGCTGTGTTAAGGAAGGAAATGGAAAATGCGATCTAAGTACCTTCTTAAAATGTATTATTTTTAAAAATCTTTATAACAAAGTAACTGCTTACATGTAGGTAAGGTAATATAGATATCCATAATGGATAGGTTTGGGTCTGCACACAGTACCATTTATATTGCATGTATCAACTGTGTGTCACGTGACTGGTATAAAAATAGAATTGATGAGCTGAATGTAGAAAATGACGCTAGTGCAAGGGCATACGCAAGTTTTTGGAGAGAAAAATTGTTACACATTAAAAAAGATTTACATCGGCTACCCGAAAAGTGCTGGGAGCTAGTTTGAACTGCTTCGGAAGTATTCGAAATTTTGCCGAAAATGCGTACAATAGCTAAAAATTCCTACTTTGCTTTAATTCTGTCATGAATAAAAATAATGCTACGCCGACCATAATCAGCTCCCAGCACTTTTTAAAATATACATGATATAGGCAATTGATATTCCGTATTTCAGCTCAAACAGTGTAGTCTATGCCCTTGCACTTTTGAGGTAAATTAGGAATACAATTATCGTGTTAGCGATATTCTTTACATTCTATGTCGTTGTGCAGCTCCATGGCACCTAGATAAAATAATAATCTACATATGTGTTTTAAATAAATTATTTACTTTCAATTTTATTGATTAGATTTAAACATTTGCGATGGTTTTATATTTATTTAAGCATTTTTGTAATTATTAAACCAATGGATCCACTCCTCTGGATCACTTGTACTGCGTCAAGTCAAGGCTAGTGACGTCATTTCTGACATAAGATTTGCTTCTAATTACTCGGCAGTGTTGTTATCAAATGTTGTGATTTTACATTCTTTTATAAATACTTGATAAAATAAATGAATGCAAGTTTTCATTTACGCATTATCATGTAGTTAAATAGATTTTTGTCGCTTGTGAAATTTTTAATGACGTCACAATGAAACTTCCCATACAGTGCATCACAAATGTGAACTCAGGCCTTCCTTAACGTAGCTGAGTGGTTCTGACTGTTGCAACCATTGTTTTCAACGTTGTTTGAGGTATTAATTGTGACGTCACAATGCCACTGCAGCGCACTGACCCTCCGATAAATACGCTTCAAATCCAGTGAATATGTAGTATTATGAACTGTTTGCGTTTGTATAGATTATTTAGGGACTATTTATAGACTATATAATACATTGTTTTGACTAATATTTACTAGGGTCGTAAGGAGAGAGAGAGAGACTGACAAATACACACGCGCTCACGGATTGGAGCGAGACAGACTGACAACATTACTCGCAATACTGTAGGGAGAAAACTTTTATTGTAAGCCAAAAACTGTGTCCAGGATTGGAGATCCAAGCTCAAGTTAACTTTTCAGATCATCCGTTGTCTGGCGTCCGTCTGTGAACTTTTCACATTTTCAACTTCTTCCCAGGAACCAGTAGGCAAAGAATATGCTTAGCGAATGTCTATAGTGCGACAAACATGAAGGTGAAAAATGAAATTTCAATAAAATCAAAATTTTCTCTGATATTTCATTTAACATTAAAGTTTACTTTACGTAAAATCTCTACAATTTGCAAAAATTCTCATTAAGATTGAAATTATTTACCTTTGAAATAGCATACCCACATCAAAGAGGGCAAACAAGATTTTGTCTACCTGATCAATACATATGTAACAAGGTGGGTTTGACCGGTCAAAGGGGATACTTACTCATCCTAGGAAACTTATCCCACCCTGAAATTTCCAGGGATCCGAGTTTTATGCTGTATTCACATATTTGTATTGTTTGTGGGTTTTTGAGATAGATCACTGTTTTTACATTTCTTATACCTATACACACTTTTTTGGTTATGAGTAGGTCTTCGCTCATTTTTTTTTAAGTTAATCCTTGAAGGTTGCGTAAAATATACATTTTTTGGTGTACCAAAACATGGAGCAAAGACCTAATATACCTTAAAAATACACTTCGGCATCTTTCCGAGAAATACTTGAAGTCCATTAAGTCAAGAGTCATGTCACAAACATGCTTTAAATGCAACCAGTCATCAGGAGAATTGTAGAATATTGGTTAACGTATTAGTCTCAAAGCAAAATGATACTCAGAATTTTTATTGCTAGGGATTGAATTCCAGGAATACCACATTATTATTTAATTTTAAAAAAAATCGATAAAATTTTTTGTACATAAAAGATTTGTTTATTAAAATTTCATAAATTTCAGTAATAAGAACTTTACTCTAGATGCTTAATTCACAAATTGAATATGATTTTCCTTTATATATGAAGTTAATGACATTCTGCGCATGCATGCCTTGTTCACCCATCTTCAAATATGACCAAAGTTTGTACAAAACATTCCTGGCTAAATTATAGAAATGAGGGGGCAGGCCCCCTTCTATGAAGCGATAATCAAAAAAAGACAAAAATAGGGTAGAATCATTAAAGAATCTTCTACTGAAAAAACACTGGGTTAGAGAAGCTGAATCTTATCTGGAATATTTACGTAGGTAGTGTATTTGTAAATTGTTCTGATCATGGTTCCTGGGAAAGGGTGGATCGCAATACGAAATCAAAGTTTTACATGGAAATATAAAATCATAGCTTTGCTGTTCTTTAGAAGAGGAGTATGGAAGCTTTTCCCTATGTATTCCCTATTGTGGCCCTAGCTTATCCCTTAGGACCATTTTCTGGTCTAGTTGCTCGAAGATTTTCAAGAAAAAATAACTGAATACTTCTAATAAAGGAGAGTAAGATACTAAAGAATCTTACAACAGTTGCACAGGTCAGTGGAGTATACAAACAAACACAAATACACGTTACTGCAATAAAATGTAAACAAAGATATTGCACGGTAACCAGCACGAACATGGATCGCCATTCTACGCCAATACCCGTGACAATAAAGCAGACAGGTGTAATGAATGGTAGTAATATCGGAAATGGTGTATGCCTTTTTATGAGCCGTGTTCTGCTTTAATGTCCCTCTCGAGAATTTTTCACTTATATGGAGACGCCACCACTTGCCGGTGGAGAGCTGCAAAGTTTGACTTATGCTCGGCACTCAGGGCTATTGAGCAGTGAGGGATTTTTGTTCGTGCCTGTACCTACTGCGACACGGGACCTCGGTTTATACGGTCTGCATGTCCCACGGTGGGATTCGAACCCGCGACGTAAGGATCAACTCCAGAAACTACAAGTTTTGTAGAAACAATTTATTGCTTTTTTTATTTCAACTAAGTTATGTCCTTGCGATAGTGAAATTTGTTTATGACCTACTTACAGTATACATTTTATTCAATTATCACGTGACTGTCAAAAACGTAAAGTGACCAAATCAAATTCAATACAGAGTTGGGTATACAATATTATTTCAATTAATTTGTAATATTGTCCGGAGATTTGCATAGTGTGATCTATCCATCCCCATTTTTTCTCTTTTATATCAATGTAAATAGGATTTCGATTGGTTCAATCCCATATATGGTGTCAGGCCATCTTATGTTAAGGATATGGCGGAAACATTTGTTGATGAAAGACTGGAGTTGGTTAGTTATCGTTTTGGTTACCTTCCAGGTCTCAGAACCATGAAGAAGAACTGATTTAACATTTTTGAAAATCCTGATATTGCTGTTTATGAAAAGTGCGTTGGAGTTCAATATTTGTGTGAGGTCATTGAATTCGTGTCTTGCCTTGTTGATTTTGCTTTGACATCGTCATCAGCTCCCCTGTCCTCGCTGACGACTTTCTTAAGACAGATGAATATGTCATTTTCTTTGATGTTCTATTTATTTGAATGGTTTGATATCTCCTGTTTGTTATTGATTCTCATCACCTCTGTTTTCCTGGTGTTTATTTTAAGGCCAGTCTTTGGAACTTCTAACGCTAATTGGGACAATTTTCTCTGAGCATGTTGTTGTTTGTGGGAGAGCAGGTCAATATCATCTGCAATATCTAGGTCCTCGAGCTGTTTGGTGAAGGTCCACTAGATTCCGATCTTCCTGCCCTTTGCTTTTTTCCGCATGACCCAGTCAATGACTATCACAAATATAGTGGGAGAGAGAATACAGCACTGCCTTACTCCTGTATCCACACTAAAAGGATCCTTGACCTTCACACTGTAGATGATGTGACATGTGGCATCGTCTTACAGATTCCTGATGATGCTACTGGTCTTTGGTGGAATTCCTTCATGCCGTATTAACTTCCAAATGGTTGATCTATATACACTGTTGAAGGCCTTCTCAAAGTTCACAAAGTTTGAGTAAAGAGGAGACTGTCATTCACTGGACTGTTCAGTGATAATATAAAGTGTGGCAATGTGGTCTGTGAATGATCTGTCTTGGCGAAACGCCACTTGCTCTTATCTTAGTTTCTGTTTAATATTCCTTTCATTCTTTCCAAGATTATTCTTGTTAATATCTTGCTGGCGAGGGATAAAAGCATGACTCCTCGCCAATTTCCACAATGCTACGGGTCACCTTTCATGGGTAGTTTATCCAGGTATATTATTTTTTTCATCTTCTTTTAGAGTAGTGGTTGTAACATCTCTGCAGACTTTCTTGGAACAGCTTTGAGTGCATCAGTAGGGATACCATCTGGACCAGCTGCCTTTCCAATTTTATTGCCTTTGTCTTTACAGCCTTAGTGATTTCTATTGTAGATGATGGTCCTACATTGATTCCTCTTTTGTTGGTGGAAATTAAAACGGTACATTCAAAATCAATTTTTAAAGACGAAAAGCTACACTGATTAAGAATGTATCTTGCAAAACAGTTTATTATTCAAAATTGCTTATTTGAAATCTCCGAGAGTAAAATCTTAAAAGTACATAGATTCCATCTTGTGTAAAGGGTGGCTTTGTTTGTCAAGAATACGTTTAGATTAGCAACACTGTAAATCTCTAAAGCCTATAAGTGGTGAAACTTATTTAACAAAAGTATGATTTTAGTTGTTTGAATATAAAATGGAACAGAAAAACTCAAATTCAAACCCACAAGTCTCATGAATTTATTGTTCAACTAACGTAAGGAAAGTGCTTATTGGGATATCTAGAAAACAGAGTTCTCATTTAAGTAAGTCAGTAGAATAAAGGTTGTTAAAACAATTAATATACTGCATAATACGTATATCAGTGAAATATAATACAATTATGGACATCAATGTAGGTCGATATGTGGTTATAAGGACCCATGTAAGTGATGTTGACCGAAGACACAGAAAGTGATAGCGACCAACCTTGCGAGGTCACTATCATTTTCTCTGTCTAAGGTCAATGTCACTTGACTTGGGCTCTTACAACCACATACTGACCGTTGACTGAAGTCCATAAGAGCTATATTATATAATTACTCAAAATGAATAATCTGACACTGTCCTAACAGACTTGGCTGTCATAACGTCACAATGGTAAAAACATGCTTCTTATATTATGACGTCACGTTCTACGTAACTTTGGTGCAGCCGAACGGTGAATCGTACAATATATTCCGCGGAAGCACTTTCGTGTCAATATCACAAAAGGACAAATATCATGTGACTTCCTTTCAGCCAATGAAAATTACAAAAATAATCATCTTTTATAAAATTTGATTTTAATGCATATTTCTTTACACCATGTTAATAATAAAACTTTATAAATTCAAACATTATTTATTATACTTAATCAAAGTTAATCACATTAAACGTAAAATACATCAAAGTATTGGGCTCACATTTAATATAAAGCCTTCTCGATAGAGCAAATATTTTGCTTCTTCATGTAATAGTATGAATTAGAATTCTGGTGGTATTCATATCTTATGTAAACTATCATAAAGTAAAATATTTTGAATACATATGCAGTATAAACTTTAATGTCTTTTATATGTGAAACTTTTTCTTTGCCTGTATATTAATTGACATTGCTTTATTGAAAAATATCTGCTCGTCTGCTGACATATCAGATTTTGTAAGAAGTTCTTCCATTTCCCACGAAGCCTGACATTTCGGACATTCTACCACAGCATTTCTTCTCATGATCTTATCTTTGGTGTAATTGAAAAGATTCTCCGGCTCTAGAAATTAAAATTGTTATCTTAGAACACTATTCACTGTGTACAGATCATAAAAACACATGCTTTTATTATATATATATATATATATATATATATATATATATATATATATATATATATATATATATACAAATATATATATATATATATATATATATATATATATATATATATATATATATATATATATATATATATATATATATATATATATATATATATATATATATAATGAAGAAATGTTGGTTGACATTGATATCTTTGAGATATACAAATAGTGTTTACAATAATAGTGCAGGTGTATAAATGTATATATAGTTAATCTTTTTGTATGAATGTTTATTAATAGATTCTGTACCTAGGTTCTAATAAAAATTGATTGATTACCCGTTAGGTGGTCGCAAGTCATTCTGCATTTCCGAGATGCTCCAAACTTGTTAGTAATTACATCGATTTCTGCATCAGTGCTTCCATACTCCTCAGGTATGAATCGATTTTCATTTCCAATCATAACTTCAATATGTTGTTGATGTTTCTTTAACTCCACGAACGTAGTTTCGTCATTATATATTATACCACTTTCTTCCTGTACTATCCATATATCTTCCAGTCTTTTATGCAACTCTTTCGACAAATTTCTTCTAAGGTCAGAAATTATTGCCACATTCTATAAAATGCAAAACAGAGGTCATCTTTATAACACCAATATCATTGTATCATTTAACTTTTAAAATACCATGTAACTTTCTTAATTCATTTTGAAACTAAAATCACCATTGCATAGTATACTACACATGTAATTATTCTTTCCCACAGAATTACTCAAATTAGCATTTACTTATATTTTGAGAATTTATTTCAAGAACTACCTTCAAACTGCATACACCGCGCAAGCCAGAGAGCGTCCTGAAACTCATATTTTCAACACATTCTACTTCATCAGAATCCTTAGCAGCAGCTGCTTCCTCTTTTGCAGGAGTATCTCTAAGAGTAAGTTTGGCAGTAATAACATGATTTATCTTTTATGAAATTTCAAAAAAATGCAATATATAATAAAAATGCGATTTCATTTTCTTTTAAATTACGATATTTTATATGCTTCCAGAATTGCACAAGAAAATGTTTTCTTTCCAATTAATCTCTTTCACGCTTGATTTAACGTTGTGTGTTTCAGTTCAGTCTCAAACAGTGAGGAAGCCTATGAGGCTATACAAGTTAGAATTGGCTTAAAATAATATTTCATTTTATCTTAGTTTAAGTTACGAATTAAAATTTACGCAGTTTTGGTGGCACCGTTTTCCTCCTCTTTAGTATCAGGAGAAATACTACCGGACGCCTGGTTTTCTTCCTTGCTACAAAATACACAGTGATGATTTGCATTAGTTGATTTATTGTTTAAACAAATGTATTACCTGCTCTGTGAAACTTTCACGAATCTTTACACCTTAACAACACTATATATTGTGAAAAGGATGTTTTGTTTGCTTGAATTTAGTTAAAATGCATTTGCAAGAGAAATGAGTTCCTACCACACCTACAATCTAGACTGACCTAATAAACATGCAAAAAGACAGACTGTAACAAAATTTTCGTCATTTAGTAGCAGGTAGATTTGATATCAGTCTGTTAATCACCAGCAGATAGACATGATGTCAATACTTATGACTGAAAGGAAAAGTGTCATATACATGTATTTTAGATTAGACCTTAAAGTATTGTAAATTTGCAGATGTTAAATCTAACAGATTCTAAGCTTCGATTATCTGCTTTTAGTTTTAGATTCCCTCTCTTTGCGATTAAATTTGAATGACCGAGATACATAAGTGAAAAAAATTAATTGGTAAGAGAATCTAATTTTTAGCCTTATGAAATAGGTTAGAATATACTCCGATTTTTTCATAAATCTGATTTTGAATCGCTAGACAGTTTACTACAAGCATTGTATTATTTATTGGTAAAGTGAAAAAAAAATATGATAATGAAATAAATGTTATGGACATCGAGTAAAGATAATGTAAAACAAATATTAGAATGTTTGGATATATATTTATACTTTGAAGACCCCCCCCCCCCCCCGACACACACCAATTCGTACTTGTGATTAAAAACAAGCATAAGCTTATAGAATCTAAAAGGAATGGTACCAATAATAACAAGTTTTAAGTGCTTAACCTTTTTTTAAATTAATTTTGTTTACATCTACAGTGTTCATTAAAGAATAGAGTAAATTCTGGTTGGTCACACAATCAAGCTTTCATCTAACTTTTTGCCATTATTGGTCTCAGCTGAGTGTAGTATCTTAAAACTTGTGTATAAAAAATATTAGCAGTTTAGAATTAGATGGATCTATCATTAATTCTCAACATAAACATCAATACATGATTACGATACACGAGCGATGTGTCACTCACAGTGCTAATGCAATTTTAGAGACGTGGTTATCTTATGTAAATCTTAGTTATTAATTAGTATTAAAAATTTTATTTGCAATTACCAGGATTTGTGAGAAAAAAAATTGCTTGTTTCTTTTCATTCATATATAACGTCTAGCGAGGTCTATAGAAGATAATTGATTGTGCGATCAAAACAATGGGTGTTAATTAGAGAAATTTAATAGTTAAGCATAGGAAACTGAAAACAGTACATAAGGACGTTCATTTTGAGATTCATAAAGGTTACATTTATCTTCCTGATCGTCAATGAGCTTACTTTGGCGTTTATATTTTACTGTGGCGGAACTATGTCGCTCAGTAACATAAATTGGAAAGAAAATCTTTCTTTAAGGAGCTGGAAACTGTGCAAAGTTTCTAGTTTTTATTTTTTTTTAAATCATAATTAAGCTTACTTTTTTGGTTGTTCTGCTTCCTTTTCTTTTGTTTCAGTTGTACTAGGAACTTCTGGTGGTAAAAAATAGCATTATTTTTAACTCATGGTTCATATCGGAAATGATAGAATATCACTGTAAGCAATTAATCTGCCCTTGTCATCATAGTTGAAAATAATTGTCATACTTTTTGTGTTTTTATTCTACTTAGCAAGCATATAAAAAGAAATATTGCTTCGTTGTTGGTATTTAAGGCTTTGTTTCTCGTTTCTTATCGAAATATCGTATGAATTTGACAAATTCTCCAAATCATATACGCACCTATACTATATATGAAGCGGTATATATTTTTTCATTGAAACATTTTTAGTAGATTGAAAGAGAAAAATGCTATTTACCAGTCTCAATTACAATCTCTTCCTTTAATGGTGTTTCTTCTTCGCAGGGAAGACGCTGAATATCATTCAATTCCCCTAGAAAAAATAGTTTGAAACATAAGGGTAAACACTTTTGTATCTAATCGATTTTTATCTACCATTCTAGAATTTCTAGAACACCACTTTTGCTTCTTTAAAGTATTGTGGATAAACAATTAATTTTAGAATATTTTTTTTTTTTATAAAAATTAAAAAATTACAACACTCTGTGTTAAGATTAGCTGCTATAATAAAATATTATTTCATTAATATACGTGAAATTTATCTGTTGCTACCAATTAACCATGAAATACACGAGTTTACGATTTTCATGTTTATAAATTTTTACATTACCAGATTTCTCTCTTCTTGTCCTACACCAGTCAAGAAGTTTTTTCTTTTTTAAAATGGCTACGAATATTGCCAGTAGGACAGTTGTTATCACAAAAACACACAGAAGGCCGACTAGTAAAGTGTTGTTTCTATTTAAAAAACAAAAACAATGAATAACAGATATAATGGTATTTACGATACTTCTACACAATTATTTTTTTTCTTATTAAAAAAAAATCAATATATCATCTTCTTGATAAGTAAAAGTATATTATTTTTTTGCGAGCAGTAAATTACGCAGACATCATAAACCAGATTAAAATGGTTCTAAACATAATAATAAAATTCACAATAAACTGAAGCATTAAATTTAATGTTGATTTTCACTCCTTTGATCAGGGTCAATTTCAGAGAAAAAAAAGAACATCAGAAAACTAAATGACTTTCAATAGGTTTCTCTTTCCGTCTGAACGATAACACATGAAAGTATGGGTGATTTTTATTTCTATTTCTATTATAAAACGAAATAAGCTATCGTTTTTAGTTTCATATGACGCACTAAATACATTTTGGTTTTTAGATATATACCTACGTTAAAGAGAAACACGACAATTGTATCAGTGAATTCATACATACGATTCTGTCTCTGCTGTAACTTTTTCAACATTTTTGAAAATGTTTGAAGGAAAAGGCTGTTGAAGACTAGCATAACATTCCTGATCTGAAATGATAAGGATATTTATTCTCTCTCTCTCTCTCTCTCTCTCTCTCTCTCTCTCTCTCTCTCTCTCTCTCTCAGACACACATATGTAAACACATTTTTTTAATTATAATTTAGTGCTAATTTTCAATTCTAATAGCTTGAATGTCATATTATATTATATTATATTATATTATATTATATTATATTATATTATATTATATTACATTATATTATATTATATTATATTATATTATATTATATTATTTATCTTTTATACATCACAAAAAAAGTGTTTACATTTAAATGATTCATTTGACTGAAATCTTGAAGGACACGGTGTGGAAAATGTTGTACAGTCTAGCCCTGGGTCATTAATTATTCTCCCATCTGCTACACTGAATCTTGCACAGTATCCTAGAAAAAAACAAAAAACTTCTTTTTTAGCCACAACAAACATGAATTCAATGTTTACATAGAAATGAAAATGCGTAAAGATTTCAAATTTTAAAAAAAATATTAATTAAGCGTTTAACGAGTTCTTCTGTAATGAGTAATGATAATTTTCAGTTTTAAATTGATCAATGTTCGTCGGGGGAAGAGGAAATACACCAGATTATTTTTGTTTTTCTGTGAAATGAATGATAAATAGAAGAAAATCTCTCATTTTGTCTTATCCACTTCAAAACATTTTTTGTACTTTCGTCATAAAAATATATTCATAAGGCCATAAAATAATCATTAGACTTGTATTTTCACTCCTGTACTAGATACTTTTCAATACATATTGAAGCGTTAGTGGAAAAGCGAAACAAAAAGTCTCATTTTAAGTACATTGATCCACCGGGTTCACATGTTCTTAAAGAGTCTTAAATGTCATATTTGTCAAATGAAGATATAAATAAAGCAAGCTAAGACTATTATTTTCGATCATATATTTTAACGATTTATATTGCTTGTTTAAATATCTGATTAAAAAAACAAACAAAGAAGAGAATAATAGCCTTAATATTTAAAACATGATTAGATCAGAAACCGGGCACATGTAAACGTGCTACTTTAGTTTCTGAATGAGCACAAAGTCAACATGTATACAAATAATACTTTAATTATCATAAAAGAAACACATTAAATGCTATATAAATACGTTAAAAGTGTAGTAAATCGGGTATGGTTTATAATGATGCTCTTGACTATTTTAGACTTATTGCAGACATTTTCAATTTTACATAATTATATTCGAACAATTCTGATTTAGACGAGAGTTTCAACTATGAAAGTCATATTCCTTTATTAGATGGATTAAACAAAACTAAAACTTGCTAAATAATTTTTATAGCCTAAATCTTGTTTGAATGTATTTGGTTAAGAAATTAAATCTTGAGCAATCATTGAGATAAGATTTTAAAATACAACCATCCACAGTCTTAAAGAAGCCATGACCATAAGAATACTGTAGTAGTTATAAAGTTTGACGATATCGGTATATTAGAGAAATAGCGAGTAGGGACTTTGACGATTTACTAGTACTTATCAGTGCTCTATAACACGAATGTGAAAGTTGACGAATTAGTATATTTGGGAAATTCATCATTGTTTCCACATTGTCAAAGTTTCCACTTTTAAAGTTATTAGTTGCAGAATCGCGTGACCTTGACCTTGGCTAGAAATCATGACATACCTCTTAGTTACAAACAACCTTTATATCAATAATGTTTTCCTGCATAACAAAGTTTGTCCGTTAGGATTTTACAAGGCATGCAAGATGACATATAACATGTACCTGTAAATCGACCTACCTGACATAAACCAGGATTGGGCACAGACCTCTAAATATTTTGTCCCATCCTTGTTTAAAACACAGTGGTATACAAACTTTTCAGGCTCGGTGCATTTCTGCAGTGTTGCCAGTTTGTTGCACTGTTTTTGTTGTGCTGCTGATTCCCATTCTGATTCATTAGAAGGACATTTGGACACGTAGGATACCGTTGGTACGGAAACTGGACATGATAGGCCCAGTGTTGACTGCATATAAAAAAAGTGAAGAATTGGAATTCTGAGGTAGAAATAATAATTTCAAATGGCCAGTTTTTTTTTTCAAAAAATAAATAAAAATACTTACGAATAATATTGTACTTATGGGTAGAAAGATAATTGATAGGAGAAATGCTCTCATCCTTAGTCAAATCATAGCCTGAATAGTTGCTACAATGTAAATATTATAACGTTTAGTTTTAAGCATTGTTTTAAAATCGAAATAAGAAAATTACTACCACAAAATGGAAAGCTAATGATTATAAACATATTGCCAAAACAGGCAAGTAATGTTACTTTATTACAAAGACTAGGTGATACATCAACGACATCTAAACTAGGTTCAGATATATGACCCCCCCCCCCCCCCCCCACTCCTATCTGAAGCATTCAAACCTAGTAAAAGACACTAAGAGGTGTTTGATAGCATTCATATCAAACAAATATTTTTTTTAAAAAAATGAATAGAGGAACCGATCACAATTGAAATAAAGATGTACAGAATTATTTTCAATTACCAGTTAATTTTTTATAAGTTTTAGTATTAAAGTGCATTCTACCCTCTTTGTTGACATTTGAAGGTCATTAGTTTTTTCCCCCTGTATTGCATTTCAATGTTTGTTGTTTCTTAATTTGTAAAAATTAGTATACGTCTATTGGGTCTACCAGAGTTAATAGAGTCCAGGATTAATCACAAGATATGAAAATGAAAATATTTATACACAAGCACTCGTACTGCTATTCCAAATTTTTGAAAGTGCACATATATCATTCATTGATTTAAAATTTTTATCTTTTTTTTCTTTTTTTAGACGGTTGTGTTTTAAATACCATCTATAATTAGATTCACTATAATTGCTTCAACAAAGAGAAGCTTTTTTAATATAATTATGTGACTCAAAATAGTAATAATATACATGATATGTACTACTAAAGTAACATTTAAAAATATTATTACATGCTTACTATTGTACATTGCTGATCATTGCAACACAGTTGTTTGTTTTAGAACAATGATGTAGGTTTTCTGACATCATTAATTTATTTGGAGTATGGGAACTTTAAAAGAATGTCAATCCAAATACCATGAAATGTATCTTGTTACTTATTGTTTTAAAAGAATACTACAGGATGCTGTCAACTTTATTCTGGCATTATAATAACATATTTTGCTACAATGGACAACTTTTGAATTTTTTTTTAATAATAAACATAAAATTTACTTTATTTCTGTCATTGATGTTGCTGAGGTTGTCAATATTCCCTTTACTTGGTACAATATAATTATAACTTATTCAATTAAAGTTTAATTTTCAAAAAAAAAAATCCTTACAATGCCCATGGTTTGAAATATCTAGAGAAGTTATTGTCTATGGAAAAATTAGGTCTCAATTTTTGAAAAATATGTGATGCAAACTTTATCAGTAATTTAATGCTTTTTTAACTACAACCCGTGTTTGTCGAAAAAATTAACCCAGTGGATCAACACTCCTGAATGAGGATGACATTTATATTATGTACATACATATGTACATACTATACTACATGTATTTGACTCTGCACTGTAGAAGTTGACAAAGTGATTGTATGTTGAATATGTGATTGTACTTTTACTGCAGTTCCTAATTCTGATACATTGATACCAAATTGTACACAATGCCCTTGTTATTCAAGATTCTTTTCTGATGACAAAAGCAAACCCAGTAACATTTGTTTTTACAATCACCAACTGAGTAAGCATTTCTAACACAGAAATTAAATCTGTCAAGACTTCCGGCCTGTAGAGAAGGGAGGACATGCGGGTCACCAAGTCTCTGTTATCCAAAACAGAAAGCCAAAACACATAGGCTATTCCCATTGTTGACATTTTAAGGTCATAGTTTTTTATTTAATCATTCACTTCATTTTCAATATGGATCTTACAACAAGAACTAGCTTCTTACTGTTTGTAACATTTTTTTCAGACATCAATTAGTTTCGAAGAGTCTGAGTGATCACAGGCATCCACATCAAGCTTCTGTTGTGTTTTCTGCAAGTTACCGATAACCAAAAATTGTTGATGTGTAAATAAAAATGAAAAAAAAATAAACAATGAAATGAGGTACGGAAAAAAGTTTATGACGGTCTTCAAATTTCAACAAAGAGGGCAGTTAACTAGTTATTAAAAATAGATAAGTATCTTTGTATATATATAGATATATATCCTCATTGCAGTTCTGTGCTATTTATCTGTTTGATATTAAAGCTGTTAACACCTCTTACGAGGTCTGTCTGTTTGGAATAGAGTGCAGGGTCATATCAACTTTTCATTTTTATGAAAGAAAGAATAGGTAATCATCTGACATTTAAAAGTCACGTGCAAGGGAGAGATTGAATGTAAGAGAAATCAGTTTTTGTAACTTAATTCATGTACAATACAGACTCCTCTCCATTACTCCACAGAACTCCACTCCACTCCACTCAGCTTTTTACCCCAAGCCAGTAAAAATGGAGAAAGAACAAGTCTCAATAAGGCTTATCTGTGGTCCCCGGTTGCTCGTCAAATTTCGAACATTCATTAACATTTTTAAAAATTAAATTTTATTATTAACTAATGTCTTTATTATTTGAATCATCATCTAAAAATGTCAAACAATAGATATAGGCAGCATACGAAGCTGCGCGTTGAAGGTAGGGTCCTTTGATTTTCATGAATATCAAAAGAAATCAGCGACAGGTACACACTTCAAAGCTTTCGTAAACACCGAGCACAGGTTTGTTCAGAGTCGAGTTTGAAATATAATGTGTATATTATATGTGTAAAGCTTGAGTGAAAATATCTTTGTTGAACAACCTTGTGCTCTATGTTTTCTAATTAAAAGTATTGCGATTTTGAATCTCTTCGCTGACTTCATTTACATGCGATTAACCTCTTTATGACCTATTTAGAATCATAACAAGCCACGTGGATTTGTATCGTTACGGGTAAATCCCCCAGTAAACGTGCTAGTTCTCAGTTGAAACGTACTCAGTTTTATATCGATCAGCATGGACTTGTTTGGTTCATCTTGTTATAGCTTTTATAGCCAAAGTTTTGTTAATAGAAAATTGTATTTGTAGTTGATTGTGAATCTTGAACATATTATTCGTCTTTGAAAAAAAATATCATACCAAGATCTTCTTTTTATAGTATCTAATCTAAATGTCTCCGCCCATTTCGATGTAATAGAGAAACCGTAGTCTGATCGGGGGAAAATGTTCCGGCATTTTTTAGTGTGATAGGTGTTAAAAATAGGCTTGTATTTTTGGATATGTTTGATTATTCATTATAAATACGCAATGTTTTAATTAGAAATACTTCGTTATACACAATGAAAACAAACAAAATACCGTATGCTAATATTTAACCGGTAAACCAAGGGTGTAAAAAGGGACCACACTACTATACTTAAGTAGAATACTCCTTCTCTCATGATCGGCGGGCATTTATTTGCACCACGCAATTGTTGACATCAAATCAAAATAAATAATGAAAGATATTTTTGAACCTTGAGGAGATATTGTGCCAAATATTATTTTCTTTATTCATAGAAAATTAAAAAAAGAAAAAGAAAACTAGCCTACAAAATATAAATGAACATTATTTTCATTATCCTTATACGGACAAACCCATTTTCAAAATTGATAAAGAAATTATACAATGCAACTGCAAAACCGAAAGTACATTACTGTGAGCATATAACCAAAATAGACAAGCTTAGATATGATTTATATTACAACCCACTTTATAATAGAAATTTGTGATTTGTTATTTACTTTTATTATTTGCTTTTAATTTTTATTATATATTAAAACAGAGATAGCTTGACGAATCGAAACTCCTTACGTTCAGAAGGCATTAACCTTAAAAAGGCTTTCTATTTTTATGTCAAGCAATCGCTATTCAACAAAATTTTTATACTTGTGGAAACATATTTGTTAAGTACCCTTTATTTTTTAAAAAAGAATGAAAGCAAACCTACAGAGTATAAATAAATTATTCGTTTTCGTATGTAATACAGTAAGGAAATAGTCAATGATTAAAAAAAATGCGACGAACCGAAAGTACATTACACACTCAACATATTACAAACCCAGGTAAGTAATGAAAGCGAAGAGTTATATGAAAATGAATTTGATCGTAAAAGCTATGGAAAAGGTTGTAATTTATACTTACTTTGACCATTTTCCTCCTGACCAACCTTCCTCTACGATAACACGACACGGTTGAGTAATCTTCAGGGCATTTAACAGACTGTGGGTTTTTTTTCCATGCAATTCTATAAGATAAAAGTTCAAAAAGAGTAATTAAACGCATTTGTTTTCATTGAAGAAATATCCATTTAAAAAGAAAGAAAAGAAAAACAAACACATAAAATCTTAATCAACAATATTTCAATCCATTTGTAACAATACGTACACACCAAGTACACATATATCTGACATCCTGGGTTTTCCAAAGGGATATTTAAATTTAATTTTACCTGTCTTAAATCTATAAAAACAGGTCATTACATACCGTCAAAAAATTCTTTGTTATATCTATATGTCTGTATTAGGTATTTATCAGAGTATCGGCACACTGTATTGACTTCAGAAGCCATAAAGCGTAATGAAACTTTTTCTTTTCAAAATCGATGTCATCATAATCATCACCTGCTCTGTTTTGCAGTTGTAATTCAATTAAATGCATAACGTGGATATTTCAAGCAATATTTTTATTTTCTTTAAATAACTTTCTTAATCGTGGAATTTGCAATCAAGTTCTCTTCTTAACAGGCAATTTTGTTTCTAGAAATGATAATTGTTTTTGTTACAATTTGCTAGATATCATCACATTTGATGTATATTACTTGGTAATTTAAAATGATACAATAAAGCTATTAAACATAAAGAATCTTCAGTTTCAACAGGAAAATTCTTTATTAACATACAATTTAGTGTTTCCCAATGTAGAGAATTAGGATTATTCACACGTATTTACTTTATACGTGCAGTTGTTATAAATTAGATTATATTGGACACCTTGATACATGTACTGCATTTATAAAGATCATGTTTTATGAAACTGAAGTTCATAGATATTGTTATTTCGCATTTTAAACACATGTAACCTATTGAAGTGAATTATGAAAATAACAGTAAAAACTTTTTATTCCCTTTTAATTTCCTCTAATAAAAACCGTGTTGAAATAATAATAATTAGAGGGTGCACCCAAGTAGAATAAGAAAAAAATAATGATCTTTTGGATATTTTGAGTAAATTGATTAACCTGATTTAAGAGTATTATTTCTAATTTTTTCAAGCATTATATAAAAAGTAATGTCACAAAAAATATATGCAATTGAAAAATAGAGAAAGACTACTAAGGTTCACATAAATGTTCTTGACTTGTTATGTTGATTTTAGACATGTAATAAGAGAAAAAATATAATTTCCATATATTCATTTTTTTGTTTCAAAGATGTTTTAAGTCGTCAACTATAAGTAAAAATGAAGTACAAGATATATACGTAAAGATAGATTTTTTTTGAAAATTCTTAGATTTCCAAATAGCTCTTTAAATAAATAAAATGATCTTTGTGTTCAACTTTTTTTATTTATATGATGTGGCAATTTTGTTTCTACAAATGATGGCTGCTGCTTTGCATTTGATGAAATATCGATGGAATGAAAAGGAACCTTGTGTTTAGTTTGATCACAAAAACAAGTTTACAATTTCCCTCCCACTCCACTCCCACCGTTAGTTCGGATCTCAAAAGATTTCAGTGTACATGCATACAAAATATATAATTAATCAGACATGACGTTGTTTCTTTTCCGTTGCAGCTACCGCCACATTCCTCCCTCCTTATTCGAGAATTCTATTTTCAGATATTAAAAGAAAAAGTGCTTTACACTGTATATATGTATACATGGAAAGTAACATTGTGTCTTGCAGGAGATTTTATCATTATTTTATATATTAGCCAATAATTTTGTCATTATTTTTGTATATCAATTATTTGTTGTTTTAAATGAAATGTTAAAAAATTGCAAATAAGATAAACAGGAAAATAACTAGTCCTACGAGAAAAAATAGTTTTATTGAATGTAGAGAAGAAAATCTAATGCATTTCAAAGTTTTCACAATATTTGACTGTCTTAAAACACGATATTTAAATTATTTTACTTCTTGTATATTGTATTTTTTAAACTAATTAATGAAGTCAGGTTATAATACAATGATTTTATTTACATTTCTAACATATAGTGCTGATAAAAATGTTATTTTGGCATTTTCAGAGAGATGCAGAGAAAGATACTATAGTGACAGATGTATTGATTGACTGATTGTTGTTTAACGTCCCTCTCGAGAAATTTTCACTCATTTTGAGACGCTACCACTTGCCGGTGGAGGGCTACAAATTTTGACCTATACTCGGCCTTCAGGGCCATTGAGCAGTGAGGGATCTTTTTCGTACCAACACCTAATTGGACACGGGACTCGGTTTATACGGTCTCATCTGAAGGACCGGTCTTCACGTCCCGCAGTGGGGTTCTAGGTTCTAACCCGCGACGTAAGGATTAACTCCTTACTCCGCGACTCTAGAGCAGATGCTCAAACTACTGCGCACGCGGACGACGTTACAGATGTATACATAAGGATATAAATTTCGTTAACAGTCGCGGATCATAAGACCAAAGTCGACGCTTCGCGTCTCGTTTGATCTGATGATCTGCACCTGTCATTTCGATGTGATACGGCTCTTTGTATCAAGTTACTGTTTACTAATATATGTTAATCATACAGTTTGTACACTTGTACATATGGGTTTTCTCTGCATTGTTTTTCAATTATGAGAATAAAGTTCATTGTAATTGTCATTGTCCAACTGTTAAAAATCTATCATTTTTCCCATTATTAAGATAAAGTTGAACTTGCTGCGCCTCGGTTGACAATGGCTTTCTTGGGTTGAAAATATTCAATGTTACCCTCAACTACATACAGTATTTATATTGACATTTAAAGTTACCTAGTGAGTCAATATCATGTGTTTCTTTTAAGATAATTGTTTCATAAAGCTAAAGATTTATGAGAAATATGAATAAGGCGAAGTTTTGAGATCTCAACTGCACGGTAAAAGCAAGAAAAAACTGCAGAATGTAAGTGCCGAAAACAGAAAAGGTGTATCTATGGCCTGATTGTTATCGTCAATGTCAACAATGTCAAGCTCATGTGTCTTTTATTTTTAGCGTGAAACTTGTAAACAACATTGAATTAGAGCAATCAAATGTGAGGAATAAGTTCTGATCATCTTTTTTGAAGATTATATCAAAATCCTCGGTCATCCGACATTTATATCTATGGAATTGATACCACGGAAACTTCTTCAACTTTTCTGCGCATGCGTACCTTAAAGAGGAAGAAGTGAAGCAATATTTTCGTGTTGGGGTAAACTAAAATAATTTTTACTTATATTTTTCTCCATAAAAGTAGATTTTTTAGGTTCTGAAACCTGTAATTTTCTGAAACCTAATACTTTCTAGATTTGAATAAAATTTGCATGTGTCTTGCAAAATTTTACTTTTGTCAAATTTCCCGTTTGTCCGTCACAGTATCTCTTTAAACAACACAGCTGCTACATAAATATCGTTGCGAATAAACTTTAATACACTTGGATGGATTTAAAACTGACAAAGAGAAAGTTAAGTTTTTGCATGTTGTTGCTGGTTTTAAGTAGCTTTTGTCTTTTACTTGTAGCCCTAAAGTGACAGGGTCCAAGACATTCACGATTTTTATTCCCTTGCTCAGGGATTGATTGATTGTACGTTGTTTTACGTCCCATTAGAGACGTCACCATATACCGGTGAAGGGCTTGGACCTTTACTCGGCACTCAGGGCCATTGAGCAGTGAGGGATCTTTAACGTGCCAACGCCTGCCGTGACACGGGACCTCAGTTTTTAAGGTCTCATCCGAAGGACCCGCAACTTTCACTTCAAAGTGCCGAGCGCATGGTGAAGGAACAGTTGCTACCCATTTTTTATCGACTTAGGTCAGTCGCGGCCGAGATTCGAACTCACGACCTCCCGATCACGGAGCGAGCGCTCTACCGACTGAGCTACCGTGAACGGTTTCCCTTGCTCAGGGATATTATGCACCAAATCTGATTTTAATTTTTTTCATTCGAGATGGGAAATTTGACAGATTCAAAAGTTTAAGTATTCATAGATTAGCTGAACCATAATATCTAAAAATATCTAGCCATTTATTGGTTGTAATAAAAAAGGAATGTAGAATGCATAATATATTGTCTCTCTTTGTTAAGTATTGAATACAATTTGGAAAAAACTTCCTGAATTGCATTTTATTCTTTAATTAGTCCACACACTTACATTATAAAATGGGTTCCATATTCATTTACTTATTTCTCTTTCGTTTGTATCTGGTTCATAACGAAGACAATGTATGTGAAAGGTAAGTACATAGTCTTTAGAATTTGTAATTTTCTTAAACAAAGCTTATTGTTGAAATCTTCATACGAGTGTAGGAGTTAAAAAATATTCATTTTTAGGTATTACTTATATTTCTACAGCTTTGACGATTGCTGTCAAGAATGGGATGACATCTCGATGATTTGCAAAGGTACGTATATCTACGTATATTTAGATTGTTAACAATGACTTCACAATGACACAAAGATAAAAGATTCAATTAAATTCTTTACTCTCCGCTGGGAAGATGACTAGAAGTGGAAGATGTAGGGTGAAGTCGTTGAATATGTTTTTATTCACTGAGAGGAAAAACAAACGTTATGAAAAATAGCATAGAAAGAAAGATAGACTGAAAGATATAATCTGCATTATCATTGATCTTTTCAAGTAAGTTGTTCTTGGGCCATGTGATTGATGAATTCATAATTATATTTTTTGAGGGATTGACAGATACATAATTACATTTTTCTTGTAATTATATTTTACTTCTTGTTTGTTAGAAAATTTGAGCTCTGCATTTAAAAATTTACATTGGATGAGTATTATAAAACAACATTAAGTCTTATTTTTTTGATTTTCTACATTAGGATTAATTTAATTAAATTTTCTTAAAAAGGAGAGTAATTAAACATCCGGGATGGTGCACGAAATGTATTTATACCATGCACATTTCAAAAAAAAAAATTGTCACATCTCTCTTAACTTTGATATGTTTTTTCCTTTTTTTTGTCATTTGCGTTAATAAAAATAGAGAAGCAAGTATAAACTTCGCCATCGATTGTATGATAACGCCCTCCTTTTATTTCCTTATTCTGAAGTCTGTTCTCCCGGATACGTTGGGTCAAACTGCACACAGATATGTCCGTATCCCAATTATGGCTTGGATTGTCAGGGAAAGTGTGAATGTGATGAACGCCTCTGTGACATTACTACAGGATGCTATGCTGAGTCTGGTAAATAGTACTTAAATTTTGAAAACAAATTAAATGATATGATAACATAATGAATTATGTTTTTCTTCCTGTTTTCTAATCTTGGAAAACGTTGTACACTATTTAATAAACAGTTAACATAAGTAGATATTTCGCAACTTTTTTTCCCTCCTCATTAATGTGTGGCATCTCTTGGAGAGAACATATGAGATAATTCAATATGAGGATGCATATGCGATTCACACATTTTCTTGAAATTCAAGAAATGTACAAAGATATATCTGAATAATTGAATAAAGTGAAGAGAAATCTTTAACATTCCCGCTCAGAAAAAAGAAACAGTGACATAAATTCAAAACGATTCTGTCCGTCCAATATGAATATTTTCAAAAATAATTCTAATTTAAGAAGCTTCACAATCCAAACATTTTGATAATCTTTCGTTTCTTTAAAAAAAATTATATAGTTTTCGTAAGAATTAAACATATTTTTTTTCTTTTCGTTTGTTGACAGTAGGTTGCAGACAAGGTTACTTTGGTGATCGCTGTGTGTATAGATGCCGATTTCCAAATTATGGGAAATACTGTCAGCATAAGTGCCAGTGTAAGGAATCTGAATGTAGTCATGTGACCGGATGTGGAGAGAATCAAGGTAACTAATTCATTATAAATCTCAAAATGAATTTCTTGTATGAAATAATATTAAAATTGACAATAAACGATGTTTTTTCTTTAGTCACGTTCAATATCTCTGTAACCAACTCACTAAACAAGGACAAAATTTCCACAGAAGTTTCGATGTTAGTCATCGTACTTTCTATTGCTTTGACCTTTGTCGTCATTCTAGCAGCAGTCATTATATTTGTCTTTTGTCGACGTCAAAAATCAACAAGTGAGCCACATCATTTACCTGCACCTCAGATAAGAGGTTATTCGGACTCAATTAACTATTTTGTTGATGATTCCAGTCAACGATATAGTTCAATGTATGATACTCCAAGAAGTCGCCTCGAGACTGGCCGAATTTCCTTGAATCAACAACGGGAGAGTTCATCCACCAAAATATACCCGGTGTCATCTGACTACTATGAGCCTGTTGACGCTTACACGCAACTGGACAAAATGGATGGAGCTGACTGTAGTTAAAGAAGAAGCAAGAATGTTTTTCTCTGATGAATGCCAAAACGCAGAATATATTTTGTTTTCAAAAATCTTTAATCACGAAGTTTTTTTTATATTTAAGGTATACACATATTGTTATTTGTTTTCACACATGAAGAAGAACGTTAAGAAGCATTATTTACATGAATAAGTTTTCTTTTTTTCTGTCCATATTTTAAAGTGAAATTTAATTTACGAAACAAATAATCTTTTTAATTGTATACTGCTCATCATTTATATTAAAAGAATTATATTTTAAGTAATCTTACACAGGATATATCTGATACAAAGAGTAAGTAAAATAATCTTTTTAGTCTTTTTGCATAATTTATGTAAAATGTAGGTGATTGATTATATATATATATATATATATATATATATATATATATATATATATATATATATATATATATATATATATATATATATATATGAAAATAAAAAAATAACAAGGCAACAATGTTAGTAAAACGTAAGCGCTTTCATTACTTCTTTAGGAGTTTTACATTCCAAAACAATTCAAACATGTGACGTTATAACGCTACCTGATATATATATGTAAGACTCCAAAGTCCGATGGTCACGCCAAAGTCCGATGGTCTCGCCAAAGTCCGATGGTTCTGCGCCAAACTCCAATGGTTTGATGTCGGTACGGACGCCAAAGTCCGATGGTCACGCCGAAGTCCGATGGTTCGTTTCCTTTGATACGCACTGCGCTAAAGTGCGTTGGTCCAATACGCCAAAGTCCGATGGTGCGTAGAAACAATCTACGTTTATGACGTCACAATAATCCGACGTCAATTCTTGACGCCGTTGTCCTGTTCAAAGCCACCATTCCTGAATTTGTCCTCGCTTACAATTTTATTGATTTTACTTATTGATTACACCTTCCAGAGATATTAGGATTAGTCCTCGCACACCACTCGCGACTGATTAGGGTTAGTCCTTGCTTCGCACTAACCTGAGAGATTTATGGTTAGTCTTCGCACACTAGTCGAGTGATTAGGGTTAGTCTCACACCCACCCAAGTTATGTAGGTCATAGTTGTAACACACTTTTCGAGCGATTAGGGTTAGTTTCACACCGATCCGAGAGATTAGGGATTAGGGTTAGTTTTCGCATAATGATATATAAGACCTTGGCATGGCGCGGTTGCAGTTTGGAGCAGTAGTACTATGGCGTCACAAACGTTAATTGTTTTCCGCACCATCGGAATTTGGCGTGTCAAACCATCGAGGTTTGGCGCATATCATCGGACTTTGGCGTGACCATCGGACTTTGGAGTCCTACATATATATATATACATATATATATATATATATATATATATATATATATATATATATATATAAATTCTATGCTCTTTTTTCTGATGAATCTATGAATCCAATAAGGATTACAAAGGGATCACTTTTAATATCGTTTTCATTAGTGCAATTATGACCTAAATTTTTGTATGCTTATACTCAAAGGCCGGGTACACGGCATATTATGATAGTTTTTTTACAGATAATTTTACACAAATTACATAAATTACAAATTTAAGAGGAGCGACAGGGGTTTTCATTGTGCAATACATCGCACAGCAACGTGAAATGAAGAGTATTAACCATTTCAAAGCAATTATTTTCACTTGATTTATTTAACCTCCATGTAATTAAATTGAGAAATCGCAAGTTAAAAACATCTAAATACCACTTTAAAGAACTAACTTTTTAATGATTTTTTCAACTTATAGGTACGTGGACGTCGTAATAGTGTTTTTGTGACGTTATGATAGGCTGAAGGTCTTTAAGAGGGGGTCAGAAAAATGTTACAAAGGAAAAAAAATAAAATATATGCTCATGAAATTTGAAACAAAGGTGCACGTGTATTTGAAAATTTCAATTATTTTTTTTTGTTATTTATTGCACAAATCCTTAGTATCTGTCACATTTTTGCAGTACTGATTTTTTTTTAACATTTTTGAGATCTCCCCACTTGAAACCAGACGGTAGAATTTTGTGTCTCTTACATATAATGTACAATATAGCAAAACTTTATCACATATTACAATTTGGGCGAAAATGTTTTGTCAGCAATTCCCCAACAAGTAACAACGGTAGGAGGGTGAGGACATAAGATTAAGCTCATGATAATAATAAAAATAAAATCAACAATTCATCTTTTGAAATCTTTTTTCTATAATTTGTAGAAAACTTGCAATTTTCATGCAGATCTAATTTCTTTATCTAGAATACGTGATCACTTTAAAATATTATACACAATCGCCAGAAAATTTTGTCCAGAGTATCACAATGTACAGCGAGATTAATATGCTTTGTATTGTCTGTAAACTAAGAGAAGTCAGGTTTACTTTTGTTCAGCCGCACCGATGTTTGAAATTGCATTTTAGTCATCAAATTCAGCGACATTTGGTGTTCAAGAAATAGTTTTTCATCCATTGACATATCGCATTTTTGAATGAGTTCTGTCATTTCCCACTTTTCGTTACACTTTGGACATAATACAGCAGCTTCTCCTTTCGTAAGCGCATCTTTCGTATAATCAAAGAGGGTTTCCGGAGCTATTGAAACGTAAACCATATAGTAAACAATGCAGCAAAGGTAACTAAACAATTTATTTAAGAACAAACATTTCTATTTAAATGTCAACTGAAGGCAAAAACAAAATAAAATGAAATAAAAATCATTACCTGTGAAATGATTACACCTCATTTTACATTTCCTAGTCGTTACCGGTTTGTTGGATATGATGTCAGTTTCAACGCTTGAATCATGGCATGCATCGTGTACAATTCTCTTGTTATTTCCTATCACTACCTGTATGATATCTTGATGCTTCTTCAGATTTTCAAATCCAGTCTCGTCATTATAAATTATTCCATCCTCCTTAACCACAACCCAGATAATCTCCTTTGGGAATTGTAGCTTTTCAGACAATTTCTCTCTCAGCATAGATATATCTTTGACACTCTTTTTAAACAAAATTAATAATGTAAAGTATTCTTAATAGATAGATACAATTAAAGAACAGATTCTGATGTATAATAGTTGATCAAATTAAGAATAAATGATTATAATACTGAAGAACATAATTGAAACGTGTGCATATAGATTTACAGTTGTTAGTCAGGATAATAATGTATTGTTATCTTACTTTCACAGAACACGTTCCTGTTTTACCAGTCATAGTTTCAAATTTCATTATCTCTTCGTCATCATCTCTGTAAACGAAAACATTCGCAAAAATAAATGTATGACATAAGATATGATTTGAGTTGTCTCCCGCTCCCTTTCTTACCTTGAGATTTCTGGGCGTTCAATCGTTATGCTATCCACACCATTTTCATCATCATTAATTTTATCATCTTCATTTCTGTCATCTTCAACGGTTTCTTTAGTTTCATCATAACTGTAAGATAATATGTAACTGAATGACTGAACATCTACATTTGAATCCATTATTTCTATAACGAAAGAACAATGTTCGAGAAGCACAAAAAAACTTACCTCTTTACCATATCCTTGTCTTTTTCTTCATTTTTCTGACTATTTTTCTCGACATCTTAACAAAAAAAAAAATATTAAATAAATTGCGCCCAGTTATTAGCAGACATATTTTTGTATTCATATAAAGCGGAATATACATGGGTAAAGGAAGACGTTTGCTGTGGCCATCGATACGACATTTAGATATATTGACGACGTATTATCAATTAACAATAGTTACTTCCATTTATATGTCGACTCGATATATCCCAGTGAACTTGAAACAAAAGATACCACCGAGTCTGACACATTTTTATATTTGGATATTTTACTAGAAAAAGACGTTAATTATAACCTAACAACAAGACTTCCTGATAAACGTGATGACTTCAACTTTTCTATCATCAGCTTCCCTTACTTATGTAGCAATATACCCTCGTCACCTGCATATGGGGTTATATATCCCAGCTGATTCGATATGCAAGAACATGCTCCACGGTCGACAAAGGATACTTATTCCTCCATGGCACTTGATCCCACCTCTGATGATTTTTAGGGGTCCGTGTTTACTCTGCTCCCGATTTGTGGTGTGTTAATTGGCCTTTTAACTTGATTTCTGTTCGTTATCTCCATATATAATATAAATGCTCCAAAAGTCTTTTATAAACAGAAAACAGAGTACATTAACGATGTAGCTGACCTTCTTTTTCTTCTCCTGAGTAGTTCATTAATTTTTCGGAAATCTCGCTTTCTTCATTTCCTTTAAATATATACATTATATATATTTTATTTTTCTTTGGAATCATAGTTTACATGCTATGCGCAGATAACTTCAATATAAATGTAGAGACGTATATTGTTACATTTATAAATTATAAGTATGACTCCATTCACTTTGAATATATCTAAAAAGCATTTCATCATTTTGCAAAAATATTATCACATCAAAGAGTAAATAATAATATGTTTAAAGTATATATAATAAAAATTGGATACAGGCAAATAAAAGACACTTCCGCTCACCTGAGATGAATATTTTATCTTAATTTTGAATCTTACCTCTAATTACCTTCGGATTTCTACATCGTTTCCATTTCTTGTCATACAAAATAAATAATAGTAAGAAAACTACAGCAATAATTGCAACCACCAAAAAGACAACAATGATACTGTAGTCATTCCTGAAAATACAAATAGCAGAATATTACATATACTGTTCATACTTCCAAATAGTTATGTAATAAAAAAGAAAAACTTTGAACGGAAATTGGGATTTTGACAATTGTTTTAATAATAAGTATAATAAATAATTAGTAAACATAAATAACTTTAATACGGAATCTAAGATAAAATATTATGAAGAACCTCTGCAAGATACGTTATAAATCACATAAAATGATAATTTAAAGAATATAAAAATTATTTTTTACTTCTTTAATTTTGGGGAGTCGATTAAAAACTGGATTCAAGCTTTTTATAATGGAATTAAATCATGTGTCATACAAAATGGAATTACTTCTGACTACCTGTTTCCTCAAAGAGGATGCAGGCAGGGGGACCCAATTTCTCCATACCTTTTTCTACTTTGTGTTGAAGTTCTGGGTATTCTAATTTCGAAACAATAGATATATAAAAGGAATAATAATTGATGGAGAAGAATATAAACTTTCACAATATGCTGATGATACTTTAATAATATCTGATGAATCGCTACAGTCTAGGAATGGTATATAAACAGACCTTGACTATTTTGCATTTGTATCTGGTCTGAAAATTAATTTCACAAATACTAAATCGGGGCTGGATTGCCAGTAAAAAATTTCTAAAGAAGTTTTTCATCACAAGAAATGGAAGCTTGATTGAAATAATTCCACTTTTGATCTTCTTGGTAAATTTTCTATCAATTTAGAAGAAATGATCGAACTGAATTACCACCCAAAATTAAATAAAATAAAGCGGTTGATAAAACAACGGCAGTTTAGAAAACTTACTCCAATTGGTAGATTAACAGTGATTAAATCCCTGATTATACCCAAGATGAGCAATTTGATATTGACTATTCCGAACCCCAATAAGGAACTTCTAGAAGAATTTGAGAAAGACCTTTTCTACTTTCTATGGGGAGTAGAATTCATAAGGTTAAGAAAACCATAATAATTCAAGACTACAGAACTGGGGGGGGGGGTGAAAATGATTGAATATATGGATTTTTTTATGTGCATTAAAGTCAACATGGATCCAAAGATTGATTCATTTAGAAACAAATTGGCTAAAAATCCTTGAATCAGAATTAGGAATGCAAATTGAATCTCTATGGGTAAGGGGTTTAGACTTTACTGCTAACTTGTGTAATAAAATAAGTAACAAGTTTTGGAAAGAGGTTGTATTTGAGTGGGTCACAATCATTGACTCTGGTAGCCAAAATAATATGCAAATTCTTCATGAACATATATGGTGTAATCCAAGAATTAAAATGAACAACTAATCTATATTCCTGAAAAGTTATTTTGATGCAGGCTTTGGTTTTATAAGAGATCTGCTTGACTCTGATGGAAAATTTGTAAGCCTTGAGTACCTCACAAATCTAAATGTAAAAAACAAATTTTGTACAATATACAGGTTTAAAAGTAGCTGTTTTAAAAATATTGAAGAGTATAGAAATTGAAAAAAAGAAAAATAAATGTCCATTTACCGCTGATTCTCTCTATGTTTTTACAAAAGCACAAAAGAATGTAAAGATATGTACAGCATTCTCATTAAGAAGAAAAAAAGAAACAACTAAGACAATGGAAAAATGAGAAAATATAATGGAATGTTTTTTCGGGATATAGAATGGAGCAAAATATTTGAACTTCCTTTTAAAACCACTAAATAAGCAAAGTTTTACTGGTTACAGTTTCAGGTTTTGCATAAGATTATTGCAACAAATGAATACCTTTATAAACTCAAACTAATTGAATCACCTGCATGTTCCTTTTGCAAACAAGATGTAGAAACAATGAAACATTTACTTTTCGAATGTTCCTACGTTAAAAAAAATTATGGTGCTATCTTGAGGAGTGGTTTATAAATAAATTTCATTTTTCCACGAATTTTGATAGAAAAGATATACTTTTTGGCAAATCCAACAATAAAAACATGTTTAGACTACAGAATATATTAATACTTACTGTTAAGCAATATAATTTTGCTAGTAGGTTTAAAAAAAGTGCCTAAACTAATTATAAGCCTCTCAATGCTAGAAAAAAAAAATATTGTAGATAGAATATTAAATGAAAAAGCTATACTATTAAGAAATTGTATATTTTCAGAATATGCAAAGCACTGGAAAACTATTTGTGATATGTTATAATATATTTTATCAAGTTTATATACAATCAAATGCACAAGAAGAGTTAAAATACTTAATATTGTTCCCGCACACATTCTCGAGCACTTTTCCTCTTGCACCACCCTTATCCCCTTCCTTTTTATTTTTGTATATAAAGCTTTCACAGCCAAAATTTATACCACTGTACAGCAAATTTATATTTTATTTACTTCTTTTCATTTTGGTTTTGAAACATATTATATTGTTGAAATGTAAATGCAACATACATTTACTACAAAAGAAAATATGTAATATAAGTATAGGGAAGTAGAAACGAATGTATGAACTGACTGTTAATTAAGATATGTACAGTACATGTATATGTGAAAACACAAATAAAATATATGAATGAGAAAAGAAATGTGCAAGCAGAAAAAAATATATTTTTGCTTGATGATGATTGCATTATATGAGTTTTTAAAGACAATCACTGACGTGTAGCTTACTTTTTGCAATGCACTGAGTTAAGTACCTCCTTTTTATCTTCTATACTTCTGTAACACGACTGATCTGTGAATGTAAAATGCAAACTGTCAAAAGACTGTTAATTTCAAAAATACATATATTTAAAATTATTGTTTGTGGAGATACTAAGGCAAAGAGTATTTATTTCTTTTAATAAAGATGTCTAGAATGTTATCATGTTCAAACATAATCACTTCATAGCTTTGTACATGGTTTTCAATTTTTACGTGGCATACACACATTTATAAGATTCGTTTGACATGAATCTGGAAGGACATGATTGAACAAACTGTGTACAATCTAATCCTGGCTCATTTACAATTCTCTGGTCTTCTGTACTGAATCTTGCACAGTACCCTGAGAAAAGAAAAAAATAATAATACAAATGTATACAGGATATTAATTTGATGGGAAGAAATTAAGTGTATCTAGTGCCTTTGATGATATCATAAATTATAACGTTTCAAAAACTTTCTGCACAAAAACGAGAATTTATATAACCGAAATAGGTGTGCATCCTCAAATATTGCAGCAATATATATGATTATTAATATACATATTTATATTTATATCTTTCAAATTGCCCCTTGTCTATATATTTTTGCGTCACGAGATATTGGGGCATTTGATTAATATTGTATAATACATTATATATTTTAGACATTTTTACATTTGGTATATAATTTAGTAAAAACAATTATTTCCTTTTCGACAAGCACATTGTATACAGAATATTTATCATAATGTGTGCTATTTATAGTAATAGACTGTATAAACTTACAGTCAAACCTCGCTATTTCGAACTTCAAGGGACCAAGAAAATACTTCGAGATATCCGAGGATTCGAGATACCCATGGTAAAATACTTATAAAATAAGCGCTTGGGACTTCAATATCACTTCGGCATATCCGTGGTATTAGGGATATGGAAGTTCAACTGTATTTTATCAGCATTGTTAAACGTTAACCAGAAAATAAAGTGACCAAAATATGACTAATTATCGGGAATTAGAATTGGAAGCCCACGATCTTAATCTTCATAAACTTACCTGACATATACCACACAGGAGCACAAACTTCCAAGAGCATTGTGGCCTCCTTGTTCAAAACACAGTGATAGACAAATTTTTCAGCCGAAGTGCAGTTCTGTACTTTTGAAAGATTATGGCAGCCTTTCTTTTTTGCGGCCAATCTCCAATCAGTTTCGTTTGAAGGACACTTGAGCACATAGGATACCGTAGGAAGACTTTCGAGACATGATAGTCCAGTGGAAGACTTAATATTGTATATTAGAGACAGTTGAGCACTTACAGATTTATAGTTTTGGAACGAATGAATTCTTGATTTTAGAATTCTTTTTTCCAATTGTTTAATAAAAATATAATTAATTGCAACATATCAAATCTTACCATAGCTGTAGGATAGATACTGCATAAAATACCAAAAATGTACAAAACAGGCATTCTTTTCTTTTCACTTCTCGCCATTTAATCCTAAATAAAAGTAAATAAACAATTAGGAATCACTTAATTGTCATAGAACAAGCATTCTGAGAGTATTGCAATAGCAATAATAGTCCCCTACCGGCAAGCGTAATCTGGTTCCTGTTAAAAATTGAAAATGCCATAATTCCGTCAAAAATAATAGAAGCGGAACGAAATGCAACCTTGATCTATAACTAATCAAGGTAAAGTCGCATACCAAAAATCAGCTCAATATCTGCAGGCGTTTAGGGGAAAAGTGCGGAAAACCAAGTGGGACAGACTGACAAACAGACAGAGGGACAGAGAGACAGACAGACAAACAGACTGACAGACAGACAGACAGGCAGGCAGGCAGGCAGACAGACAGACGGACGGACGGATGGACAGACTCAGAGGAAACCTATGGTCCCCTCCGGTTTCAACTTGTTTTTTTTAAAATCTTTTTTGCATAATTGATAAAGCCAGAACCCAGATAATAGATATGTATCTATCAATGTACTTTCTGGTCTTTGATGTCCACGTCTATACTCAAAACTTCATATTGCATATATAGAATGAGTAATCCGGTAAAAGATTACAATCGATTTTATGCATGTTTAAATCGAAGAAGCAATTATGTGCCTTGCAAGTATGCAGATTTTAATCATAGAAATATGATAAGGAAATGATAAAAGATTGTCTTAGTTAGTATACTTCTATACCATTGAAATTGGTCCAAAACTGTAAATGAGGTGAATTGTTTTTAAAAATTTCATTCATTATTTTATTTTTATTGCTCTAACCGCTACAATATTGCTCATTAAATTTAAAAACCAGTATATATGCTTTGTATACCATATTGTAGTATACATATGTTCCAAGATTTATTCGAAATCAGAAAGTAATCTCTAAAACGAATGGGGTTTTTGGAAGAATCCTCCAGAAAATTCAATTCTAATAGCCATGACAATATTGTTTGTCGAAGTAAAATGTCGATATACAGATTTATGTGTCTAAGTATAGACTGCTTGTTTACAGAAACACTAGCGTTCTAAATTTTCCGGAAGTTTCTGTTTTTAGTAACCATGGAAAAATTATTTGTCGAAATCAAAACATAATTCAGTAGATATTATTACGCTATGTTACTGTCACAGTTATTGTTGTTGTTGGTCTAAGGGGTAGGGAATTAAAGAAATAAACATGTTTACTACAAAAATATCTTATTCTATCTAACTGCTTAAATTTCGTATTAAAAAGAACAAAAAAGAAAACTTACCTGAAAAGGTAGGAAGATTCCTTATTTATGTAAAAGGAAATGAAATCGAAACTGGAAAATGCAAATAAACGTCCAGGTAAACCCAAATATTTCGCGCTATATTTAAAACAAACTCATGTTACATCGATTGAATTTTCATCGCCACGTAGCCTTTTATCTTGATTCATTATTTCAACAACTTAAAAAGCTTGACAGCACATTTTAGTTTGTTTATCTGAACTTTTTATTAACCTTTGATATAAAATGCAGCAGTTCCTCTTCCTTTTGCACCTAAAATTTTTGTACTGTGACTATTGTTGGTCTTTTCCTATTCACAATTTACTGAAAATTTACACTAATCATTGAACAAGGACATTAAATTGTATATTCTAGCAATTACATTATCGTAAAAATAATTTACTTTATACTTACGTCCTTGGGGATAGTGTCTTGTAACACGAAAGGTGTGGGTTTATTTTTTTATAATAACAACCCCCAAATTTACATAAACATCAAGAAAGTAATGTTCGTGGATCACAGAAATGGAAAAAAAAATATATGGCATCAGTCTTTAATTTTTGCAAAGGAACAGTAGGGTCAGAATACATTCCTTTATAACTTCAATTACATAAGAGCTGTTAAATTTTGTTATAGTGCACGTGAATCGCATACATCTGCTTCCTTGAAGAGAAAAATATTTTCAATATTACTTTAGAGTTTATTTCTAAAAATACATTTTAATCACAGTGTGATTGTGCAGTTGGCATAACCTATTTTAACCCTCTCCCTAAATAATATAATTATATAGTCTATTTATAGTTCCAATATAATCTATACACTACATATTCACTAGATTCGGAGGGTCAGTGCGCGTGCAGCTGCGACGCCTGAAAGACCCTCAAATAACGTCGTAACATGCAGGTCGTGTATCTGAGCAGGGAAAACGTTAAGCAAGGGTATCGCCAGATTTTCATTCAAACAGTTCAACGGAAAATGGAAAATGGTCTTGCACAATACGAAAGGAAAGCATGAAATTAATACTTTGTAATCTGGGCATTTTTTAATCTTTCTGTAACAGAAGTTCGATGACAAAAATTGTGTCGTCATGCACCGTCAGTGCCTTATTTACTCCAATCCGGACTATCTGAACGTCGCGCACTGTGTTGGTGTCAAAAATCATTATTACCATAGCGGCAGCATTTACGTTATATATATGTTTTGGAAACAATAAACTGTATGAAAGCTACATATCATTCAGTCGGTAATTATATACTTCATACATTTTATTGTCAAGATCTAGTACATGAATAGTGCTTACAGATTTCTCAAATATGAAAAACGAATCCCTTTAATGATCCATTACAATTATGGCTTAATAAATTCAGGTGTATCGGTACATAATTTGTAGGTAAACTCAACAAAAATACATATTTAAAGCTACCCTTTTTAATGACAAATGAAAAAATCAGGTATAAACATTGGAGTTTTCTCCATCTCAGACAAGGAAAATGTATCAGTATTACCTACAGTCTCTCTGCCTAGATAGCCGAGCGGTCTAGCGCGCTGTTCCTGTACTGCTAGGAGACAGATTCCGTAGGTCGAGAGTTCAACCCCGGGCTGGGGCGGAAGTGGGTATCCTTGTAAAAGTGAATTTCTCTGTGCTTTATATATTAATATTTCTTCACTTAGGACAGTTATGTTAGTTTAAGAGTTGTTGTAAATTGTGCTGTATAAATAAAATTAATATCATTACAACTTGTATTGGTAACGATCCTCTAATAAAATTAATGTCCAAATAACTGTATCTCACTTCCATTCTCAATGACCGTGTAGTGTAGGGCGGCGCCGCGAGAATTCCATCGACATCGAAAGCAAGTTTTTTGACTTGCCTAGATAGCCGAGCGGTCTAGCGCGCTGTTCCTGTACTGCTAGGAGACAGATTCCGTAGGTCGAGAGTTCAACACCGGGCTGGGGCGGAAGTGGGTATCCTTGTAAAAGTGAATTTCTCTGTGCTTTATATACATATATATATATATATATATATATATATATATATATATATATATATATATATATATATATATATATATCCTTTCCAGAAACCCGGGAAAGGATCGAATACTTCAATTTTAATGTTCGAATTGGCAGGGTGAGAACTAGGGATGAGTGTTGATACGGAAAAAAAACGTTAAATGCATATATTGATATTTTGACTTGTATATCATGATACGTATTTCTTTTCATTTTCCATAAAAAGTTTTAAAAACATTCTCAAAGTTTCATTGCAATATTGTTAGGTGTAAATGCATTCTAGAATCTACAAATACAGCTTTATGAAATAAGGAATGCTTAAAGCTGACATGAATTCTTAAAAACGCAAAATTTGCATCAATGTACGACTTGTTTCATACCAACTATTCCGCCATATTTCTTTCAGATACCTTGTCTTATTGTAACGATATATACCCCAGTGCCCTCGTTACACTTGAGTGAATTTTTGGTTTGGCTATCGACACGTGCACATCTCCGATAGTAAAGTATTTGGGGAACACATGAATTGATGAAAACATTTTAAAACCAGAACAGATAAAAACAGTCATAACGATAATCATGAATAATTATCGTTTTGAATAACATAAATGCAAGTTTGGAAGAAGAAACATAGTTGCGCGTGTTTTTTAAAAGCATACCAATATATGCGCATTAATCTTAAAATAATACACAGTAAAACTCGTACAAACAATTTGCAATAATCTATCGTAAGAATGGAACAAACCATCGCTCCACCAGTGTATTTCCTATGCATGTCCATATGCATTCAAATACAATTGATGCATATCGAGAGAACACGTCGAACACTGTAAATTTATTCATACCTGGAAATAGACCACTGTACCCGTTCGAAGAGTGCACATGCCGAATAATTTACATCTTATATTCCATTTATTGAAATATGCATCACAAAAAGTAATAAACTCCATAAATACTCAGCAGTAAACACGTTGTCACTTCATCGTACAGCCTAGCACTCGAATACGCTTAGTCCGTGCTGATCAGATTTTGGTCGGGGAAAATATCAAAAGTAAAAAAGGGAATTAGTATTTGCGCGACTGGGTAAAAAATAAGAAATCACTAAAAAAAAAAGTCTGATTGCTGATTATCTAAAAAATAAACTGAGTAATTTGGTGTAAAATAAATGATTTAGAACACGACATGAGAGCATTTAACCAGAACACAAATTAACAAATATGCACATACGTGGAGCCGGGGAGGGGGGGATACTCTCTTTTCTCAGAGTGTCTTTCAGGCACGTTGCATCTAAGAAATAATTGACACTTTACCTGAAAAATCTTTGACAAGCAAAAAATAATAATAATAATACATGTAATAATAAAAATTATAATAATAATAAAAATAAATAAAAAAATAAAATATTAAAAAAATCTCCAAAATCCTATTTTGTGGCGGGGATGGGGGGGGGCAACTTTTTCGAGGATTTGACTATAGTGCAACAAAAAGTGGAGGAGATCAGCCTTTGATTATGTATTTCATACTAAACAGTAAAACATTATGCTCGAAAAAAGGGGGGGGGGCATCCCCCACCCACGCGTTCGACATGCAGGTTTTTTTTTTAAGACTGGCTGCCACCCCCCCCCCTCCTCTAATCCAACATTATTGTACATTGTACTCAAATATTTTTCTGCCGAAAATGATAGCATGAATGGAATCTGTCCCTCCTCTGACTACGGAGTTTTTTT